ATGATAGTGATCAAAGTTCCCAAAACCGAATTTCGAAACGGATCTACTATTCTGCCAGGATGCCTGGTTGCCTCGAGGTCATCCGGGCGTCCATGCTCCGTTTCGGCGTAACATGGCTAAAGGCGAAGGCTGCGGCTGCCAAGAGCCAATTGGGACACTGGAGCAAACTATGCGACGATGCTCCGTTGGTGTGGATTGCCATCGCACGCTTTTTCTGGCTCACGGCGGTCGTAGCATGTGCCTTTTGCTGAGTTGCGTCGATTCGAAGCATAGGTATAGGAGATTGCGTGCTGGCCTGTACGTTGGAACAGCGTACACGGTTCAGGCCAGGCACTCCTATAAAAATGCTGAATTTTGCCTCGAAGAAACTATTTGTACGAATGCATGATATGAAGAAAGTCCCTTACTTTTAATCGCTCGCTAATCCTTGAAAATTGACATTTGAATTACCTCATTTCTAGGCAAGCACGACGAACAAAACTGCCCAAAGACATCTACAAAAACCTTGCATATCACTGTGTTCGCAAAACAATTAGCCCAGAGCAGCAGTTCTCAAATTGGGGTCTGCGAAGCCCTGCCTCGTCGGTCAAGCCTCGCAATAAAAGTTTTATTTTTTTCAGATTGAGAAGAAACGTTCAAATTTTCGGACGAGTTTTCTCATGTGCGTGTCAATGAAAAATATACTTCACACGAACCCTCAGTTATATCCCTTTAGTAAATCATTATCAAAATTAATCTATACCTTTCCCTTCCCCTCAGCACAAACAGGGTCCTCCACCATCTCACCGATCCACAAGGGGTCTGCGAAAAATCAATTGTTGAGAAGCACTGGTCTGGAGCAAAGAGCCGTTAGAAATATTTAACAGTCCCATGTTGATCTACAGTACAGCCACAGCAACAGCTGCGACACGTCGCAACGATGCTGTTGGGCATCGGCGTCACGCTCGCGCTCCGTGGGGTGCGTGAACGAAATAGACATCTGTCTTGTTCCCAACACAGTTGTTACCTTTTCTGACCCAGAGTGCAAAAGTGTGTCTCCCGGCATGAGCTCTTGGCATTGGCAGTGCTACAACAACAAATTGTAATCAACTTTTTTTTCTTTTTTCTCGAGCATGTGCAGTGTGCATTTGTGTTAACGCTGTGGGGATGTAGTGTAGCTCAGTGCAATGTTTCCACTTCACACACGGCAAACCCAGATTCGATTCCCGCCGGCAGCGAACGATCTGTTTCGAGGATCTGGCAGCATTTGGCGACAGACACTCTACAACGCCAACTACAACACCAACAACGACAACAACGGATGTCACTTCCAGTGGTGGGAAGGGTTGATAACAGCTATCGCTGTAAAAGCAACCTCCTAAACAGCTGTCCACACGGGACGCAGCGAGTGTCGTGCACCGCAAAAGTGCACATGCTTCTCAAAAAGCGTGGAAGTCCCGGCGTGTGCGTATGTTTTTGTCGAGGACATGAAACGCACAGCGACTTTCCCCTCTCTTTTCTTGCTTTTGGGAAGATTGGGGACTGGCAACAGCGAACGCATTGGAAACACCCTTCGCCATTGGCGACTCCCTTGCCGGGGGGAGGTGGTGGGGGTGATGTTATTTTGTTTTTTTTGCTTGATCCCCCAAAGGACTTCCTGGTGATATCCCACACCACTTGGTGATAGTTAGGGGGACAAAATTGGCTTAGAAGGGTTGGAGGAATCATATGTTTGTTTTTTTTAGACTCGGGCTAGGTGGCACAAGCTACCACCCGTAACAAAGGGTATAGCCGTTAACAACCATCCATCCAACCCAGCAGGGTGTGCGAGTGGCTACGTCCAAGGAGGATAGAAGGGTAGGAGAGGGCATGACGCCAGCCACGTAGCCTCGACAAGCCATGCTCCCTTGACGCCGCGCCTCCTTCTCATTTTCCTCCTTACTCTCCTCACTTGCCCAGCCCAACGTGACCACATCACGTGACCGTAGCTAGCCTTCGCCTAGCGATGGTGTACTAGAATACACCACAGTCCCTGATAAAACCTACCGAACGGAGCACGCGCAAGCTTGCAAAAAATCCTTCTACTATCAATATACTGTAAAAGGGTTGATAACTGGGCTAGTTGGTAGTTAGACATATTAACGGCATTAGCGCACACGTATGAGGAAGAGAGAAGGGACAGAAAAGAGCGCTACTCACAACTGTATTTACAAAGATGAAGAAAAAAAAGAACATCGTCCAGCTCCCCATAAAGATGAAAAAGGAAGAAGAGGAAGCAGAAATCCTCTTCTTCCTTTTTCATCTTTATGGGGAGCTGGACGATGTTCTTTCTTTTCTTCATCTTTGTAAATACAGTTGTGAGTGGCGCTCTTTTCTGTCCCTTCTCTCTTCCTCATACGTGTTCGCTAATGCCGTTAATATGCCTTCTACTATCAACTATCCGTCTCACTTGTGACATGTCACATGCACCAATTGCCAGAGAGATCTGCGGTCACGTTGGCCACAACATCGTTTAAATTATTATAATGCAATTAAATGCAAAGGTGCAAGCGAGCTGGACAATAATGACGAAAATGAAAATAATCCCTGGAGAAGAGGAACAAAGGGACAAAGGACAAACACAAATCTCCAAGATTTGTGATTGGAGATTTGTGTTTGTCCTTTGTCCCTTTGTTCCTCTTCTCCAGGGATTATTTTCATCGTTTAAACATTTTATAACTAGGCTTCACCAATATTGTAACAGGCCCTCTCCTAGTACTTCTAACCTCCTTGGCTACGTCCGAGCCCACGTCGTGAGCGCGCTCCGAGGCTTTGTCCAAGGACGGACACAAGCTTTCCCCTGGGTAAAAAAAATGTCGCGAAGCAAACCAGAAGTGGAGAAAAACCTCCACTTCCGTTATGGCAAATGCAACGCACGACAACCTAGCGTACGCAGTTATGCAATTTTATTGGGTTCACAGCATCGAAGCTTGGAGACCGATGGCACAAATGTTGACAAATCGGTCCGGCATTATTTACGAGGCACGCAGCTACATACAATATCACAACGCACGCACGTGCACTTGCATTGTTTCGACATAAGCACCAGCAAAAGGAGGTATGCTATAAAGCAATCTGTAGGCTGAAGCACCACTGATTTGTAAATGGATTCAAAAAGCCCGCTCACAACTAAGTGTGCACGTGTATGATACAAGGCGCCGGCCAAGTTACCGTTGTACTGCTTACGCAATATGACAATTAACAAAAGTAAAGTTGGTTCTGTTATGTTTGTAGCCGTTGAACAGTATGTAAATGCATTTCGCACAGTACCAGTCATGTATCTACTGGTTGAACATGCTATGGATACGTGGCTTAAACTTTCATTTCGTTATAAGTCGGAATGCGGTCAAAGAGTAGAAGATACAAACGCAGACTCGCAGGCTAAAATCGCAATGTCGCGGTGCATTCATGAGACTAGATTGGTTGAGCTAGTTGATGGTGTATGCAGGAAAAAACGACAAACACCGTGACGTTGCGCTTTTGGCACCGTTTGATTATGTCGATTGACTCGTACTGTTGACTGTGCTCCGACTTACAGTGAAACAAAGTTTAGCAGCACCTGGTGGTGTCATTACTTTTTTTCAGTACCACTTTGAGAGTTCAGGATGTCCAAGTGTACACAATATTGCTTGTTGCCTGAACGGCCAAAACTTGCAGCACAATGTATGGACCGTAGAAAACTTCGGAGCAACGCTTTTCCCTGTATGGCTCCTACATACTTAAAAAATAAAATGACATAGTTGTTTTTGTTTCAGAGCACTAGTGTGCATTGCAACTGAGCAGTGCAAGGTATGCAGAGCTGGGTAGGCAAGCCTTGTTATTTGAGAATGTCCAGACATCACACGACCCTATCAACATTTGTAGGACGTTAGTGGAATATCTCGTGAACGTCCTATTTATGTCGTTGCTAGAGTCTGCTTTTTCAATTATTACAAAATCGTCATAGGCTAGTGGGTCTGTAATCACTCTACGGGCTTACTCAAGTTTCTGATTGTAATTCGTGGACAATGAGGGTAACACCGAAATGGGTGTCAGCAAGAGCTTGTTTTTGACAATGCATTGTTTGACAAAAGTGACATTTGTTTGTTAACAGCTGCTCAATGGAATGCATATTAGAGAAAACTTCAGCAGAGTTTCGGTATGAATAATGTTAGACCCAAATACAGCTGTAGCAGTGACTCAATGAGTGATGTTTAATCATTGCTAGCATTGTCTCTGGAACAGTATTCATCCAAAAACTTCTGAAACAATGCTTGAACTTTCTCTAACAATGTGATTTACTGGCAAAACAAATACTGATGAGGCCCACAGTATTGGAACAAGCTTCTGCCAGGTTTCTGTAAGCAAAATTGTATCTTTGCAGATGTCTCCTACTACATGACACTACTACTTGTTCAACTTCATGAACTGCATATGTAAAAATTTGTAAAACAAATAAAATTCAATCCAGGAAAAAAAATGGGTAAAAAGAGTCGATTGAACCATTTTTGTAAGCACCAAACTTGTGAGGATACCGAGTTTAACAGAAGCAAACGCCAACAAACGCCTAAGCTGCGATCAAAAACAAACTCAGAAAAAGACCCTCTGAACTTCGCAAAAAGTAAACTCCAAAAATCAGGAACCCAAAATACAGAATAATGCAAAAATATGATCTGATGCCATACAAGCTGAGACTCATGCAGCTTTTCATTATTGTCCCTACACATAATTTTTTTTCTCAAGTTATCCAAATTAATCAATGTAGATAATTTTCATCTGTAATGGTTTTGGGCTTCTCAGGAACAAAATAAATTAGGTGTAATAAAAAAACATCCATCCATACCAATGCAAGTATTGTGCTTGACTAGTTAATCAATATATATCCGCACTGCAAACAAGTCTTTTAGGACAAATTGACTTTCAGTGAAGACCAATGTTACTCTAGATCAACTCGGTTCTGGAACTGCCCATAGACGCTGCTTTCACGAGCATTACTCCCCCCTCTTCCCCAAAATTCCACCTCCTGCCGTTCGACGCAACACCGTTCTGGGGACAGCTGCTACGGTAACTACAATGTACTCCATGGAATACACAGATTTTGAAGCACAGCTTCAAGACGGTGCCTCACTGTACTCTGTGAAACACACAGTTTTGAAACGCAGCCCACAGATGGTGCTCCAGACGACAGGTGGCAGACCTGAGGGGGAGAGGGAGATATTCCCCTCCATGAGAGTTCCACAACTGAGACGATCTAGTAATGGTGGCAAAAACCAACAACGCAGGCCTATTGGATACCCCGTGAAGTGGCAGCTCCAAAAACCGCTTCAATCTGACGCAAAGCCGAGTTGGCCTGGCTCGAGACGTAGACCAATCCGGTGGAGCCAGTTTCCGTGGCTATGGCTTTGGCCACCTCCTGGCACGAGCTGAGGCAGGCATCTCCCGTGTACTCCAGAGCTATCACAGGACCTGGCAAAAAGATAAAAAACCTCGATTTGGTATGGCAATGTGGTAGATTCGCAAAATGTCATATGAGAGTCGTTAAAGGAGTAATCCGCCGTTCTTGTTCGTGGTCGCTGATTTGCCTCAGTATTGCCCTAAAAAAACACCGAAATAAAAAAAAAATTAAGAAAAAAAGCTTATTTAGGACACACTCTTTTGTAAACTTTCCAACAGAAAAAAACAAAAACCTTTTGCTCAATATTTACGCTGTTAAACTCAATGTAGGTGGAGGTAGCCTGCCCTAGGCCCCGTGCAGAAACACAGTAATTATTTACATTCCATTTTCCAGCTTTCATTGGTTAAGGAGATAACTGATGCATAGATTGTTAGCTGTAAAATTGCTTCTATGTGGCATAATAATATTTTTTTTATAGACAATATTTTTATGTTTGAGAAACAAATAATCTATACTTCGTTTCAGCTTCGGTCCAGACGCAGCCGATGCTACAAGCGCGAGCATGTGGCCCAGAACAGTGCTTGCACTGCACGAGCGCGCGTGCTTGGCAGGGATGCTGAAAGCCCGGAGCTCGCGCTTGTAGCTTTGGCTGCGTCTGGACCGAAGCTGAAACGAAGTGTAGACAAAGTCATTACTGTTTTCAAAAATATCCCGCGATTGCCTTTCCGCTCCGGTTTCAAACGATAACAAACAAGGCTGTCGACGTTTGCGGAAGCTCGTTTATTTTTATGAGTGCGAGTTGTTCTGCATTCACCAAGGTATTTAGAGAAAGATCTCAACCGACCTAGTAATTTGCAGCAAACCACTGTCGCAAGTAGGCGCCTTCGGAAGCGCTGTGCGGGTACTTGTTTTCGTTGCGGGACTGGCTTACGTCTACTGTCCATCAACCATGTTGCTCGATCTGTCTTGATTAGTTTGTGTTCGAGCATTGGTGCTGAATAAAGACGTTGGTTCCCGTAAAAGCAGCCTCCATGCTCTGTGAATTGTGCAACCGTCATGATTGCAACCATGGTTTTAATACCGAGAAGATGCCTACACAGGTAAGAATTTGCGAGCCATTTGGCTGGAGGCATTCGGGCATTTGGCTCGCATCAAGTTTGTCTAGGTATGTTCCCGTCATTTCGCTTCGTAAGGAAAGAAGCTCTCAACTTTTGCAGTGCACTTGGCCTGCCAAGCGAGTAATTTTAGGTTGCGTTTTAATTGTGCGTCATGACGCTCGCCCACCTTGCTCGCAGATGTCACGCGAAAAGAATAAGAGCCGAAAAGCTGAAAGGACTGCATATTTATTTGTTGATTTTTTTTTGTCCACTTGGTCGTCTTTTACCGCACATGAACAGGCGCTTGCATGATAGAACGCTAGAACGACGGTTTCATTGCAGAGGTTTCTAGATGGGGCCGGAATAACACACAGAAAAAGACGAAAATGGATGCCGAATGCAGCTTTCATGTTTGCGTCTTACTGGCATTGAAGACGACGATAGACGGTGGTAATTAGCAAACTATGCCGGAGGCTGCGCGCGTCTGCTCGCCAGATTAGCAGGCGGTGTCAGATGCCAGGCTAGACGCACCAGATGTCGTGAAAGGAAGAAGCTAGATTTGTTGGCGTGTTTGGCTGAGCAGCCAAGCCAATCCACTAGTAATGGGCGGGGCCACTGGTCGGTGGGTGGGGCTTAAAGCGGGCTGTGACCTCCCACCTAAATTGCGTCTAACAACGTAAATATTGCGCAAAACATTTTCTCTTTCTTGGAAAAATTTTAAAAAAAGATTGCGTGTCCCACCTTTGCCTTTCAAAAACAATTTTTTTTATTTTTCATTTCAGTGTTTTTAGCACAGTAGATATGGCTGATCCAGTAACTCAATTATTATGTAAAAATGGCTTTGTTTTTGCAAAGTTACTTCATTTTCACTTTTATTTCAACCTTTCTTTTTATGAATCGAAAGGTTTTATTGGCAACATTAAAAAAGTGATGCTAGTGGCAGGCACGGGTTCACTGTTTGAGCAGTAGAACTTATTCCTGAAGACCCATCCTCACACAATTGCAACTGCTGAAGACCGTGTGCCAACCTCTTAAAAATATGGGGAGAGTTTGGCCAGTCTATCATCTCGCTGCCGTAACGCCCCTCCTCCCGAGTGAGCCAATCAGCCTGCGGCACAGAGCGAGAGGCGTGAGCGCATGCGCGTGAACTCCCGGCTGCTCACAGCCGAGCAGGGAGGGCCGCCATTTTCATTCATTCACTTGGCGGAATTCATAGCAGAATGCAAGGGACCAACATCAAAACTTCAGTTTTCTCTTTTTATTTGGTAGGCTCTGGCAAGAAAATGATATAGTGTTATTCCTCGATGGCTTAAAGGGACACTGGCACCCCCCAAAAAAATTTTTTCATTTTTTGCCAGGTGCTTCATTATGGTGTCGGAGGACTACCCAATTAATATTTTGCAACAGAGTTGCGTATTTTTTTAATAAAGCCAAAAGACGCAACTGCTCGAAACCGAAACCGAAACCTGACGGAGAGCGGAGAAGTGGAGAGAAGAGGTGCAAGTGGCGGAAGTCACGTGACTACACCCGACCGTGCGTTTTTTTTTTTTTTTTTTTCTCTTCTTTGTAGCAGACGACACGACATGCGGCGTACGGGAACTGTTCGCCGTGCGATCATTTTGCAGTCATGTTTGTTCCGCTCGTTGTTCTGAACTCCAATATGAGTTGTTTTGTACATTGAGGAGTTGGAGATGAGTAGTGAGTGCCCGTGGTGAATTTCCATGATTGGCTCCGAAAAGAATACACCCAAGAGGTTGCGTGAAGAGCTGGCTCACATGTCCTGCGTCCGAAAAAGAAAGGGGCATTGTGCGACAGAGTTTCCGAAAGATCAACGGGTCGGTACCAATGGCTGGCTGCAATTCCTGTAGAACATATACGGGCACCTCGGAAAGCGGACGCTACCTGATTTATATGCTCCTTGCATTTTGTGGAAAGTGATTACATTGAGTTCGCAGGTGTCAAAAAGGAAATCCCATAACATTTAATTCAGCGAAGTGTCGTCCACAACATTTGTTTGTTATTTTTTTGTTTGTTTCTTCAGCGATAATTGTAAGAAACAAGATATGTAAACATCAGAAAATGTTTGAAAAAAAAAAAAAAAAAAAAAGGTTCCACGGGGGTTTGAACCTGGTCCTACCGCGTGTGTAGCGGACGTCTTTCCCACTGAGCTACTGGGGCATCTCTTCATTGGCGGATCTTTTTCTTTAGTAATAATTCAGCCGATAAACTAAGTTGGAAAGTTTGCTGCCGATTTTCCTCTAGCAAAAGCACTCCCGGGTCGAAGTCGGGAAGCACCACGCATTGGCGACATCCGCATCTAGTAAAGAAATCGTACGCGTGCATCTTCAACTCGAAGTAGACACGTCGTGCTTGACGTTTGCGCGAGCGATGTCTTCAGCAACGAGAAGGGAGCGGCGGCTCGGCGACGTCTTCGTCCAAATCGGCTTGGTGGTCGGGCGTGTCGTACGGGATGAGTACCAATTCTTTTAATTAGTCCCAAATTTCTCTTTTAAAAGTAGACAGAATTCGACGGTACCGCGAACGACAGTTCTGAAATAGAGGTTCTACCAAGGAGGTTATCCTCTCCAGCACCTTGTCTCCTCTCCAGCACCTTGTCGCCACACCCACTGGCCAGACTCTCCCCATGTATGGCTCTGGACGAGGGGACACACTGAGGCCACCTGTCGGGTAGCCGTAAAACACTTGGTTTCTATATATTTCCTCATTCCTTACGAGCATCATTCTTTTCTTTCTTTGCTTGAAAACTTTTGACAATGTTATAAAACGACCATTTCTCATAGACGGTATATACATTTCATCTGGCAAATACTGCAAAACCTTCATTCTAGTCAAATGCAGTTTCAAGGTCACCTCATAGGTGGTGCCAGCGTGCCAGCATGTTTTTCGTCGTAAGGAATCACACGAGCTCGGTCCTAGGGTGTCCTAAGCAAACGCAACTATGTGAACGGGCCTCTAGTGATTACAAAAAGTTTGATGAGGTGAAATGAACGCCGTGGAACACCAACACTCACTCAGCAGCATGAAGAAAATGAGCAAGACACATCTTAGAGTGCCTGCTCGTGCCTGCTGTAATGTCATGCCACTAAAAAGAGCGAGAAATTTTTAATGTTCGTTCTGACGTCGGTTTTACGTGCAGTTTTTAAAATGGCTACTCTGAATTTAATAATAATAATTATGATGACGATGATGATGATGACGACGACGACAACGATGATGATGATAATAATAATAATAGCTTTATTTCCAACAATGAGGAACAGTGTTGGTGGGGGCTTAGGAAAAAAGCTGTTAAAACAGCTTGACTGGTCCCGCACCCCCAGAAGTGTAGTAGCAGTAGAAAAGGTTAACAGAAAAATCATATTATACATCAACAAGATGTTAAAAAAAAAAGCCACAAGAGTCGTAGTAGCGATAGTACTGATGTGACGAAAAAGAAACATATAAACAAGCCACTCAAATTTGATCGGTTTGGCTAAGAATTATTACGTTACTTAGGTTACCTGCAGACATATTTTCAGGCTCAATGCGTTGCGCACATAAATAGTTGAGGGTGGTTGAAACCTGAACCGTGAGAAACCAAAAGACAAAAACTCACCGCTCCCAATGACCGCGTTGTAGGAACTGGTTCGGAAGATCTTTTCTGCCGTGGCTTTGTCAAGCGTCACCTCTTTGGTTTGCACCAGGATGTTCTGCGTTACAGGGACAACGAAATGATTTTCAGAAACTTCTCCTTATGCTTGAAACATGCAACACATGTTTAGAAATAAAGTTGCGATAAGCTTGTGATGCCAGTAGTTGTACAGAGGCTTGAGGTGCTCATGTAATGAAGGCAGCAATGTGGAAAAGATTGTACAAAACATAAACTGACTTGGAATAGCTGACTACTATACTATTTTGAAGGGGAAATATCAATACCAAATAAGTGAATGAACCTATATAAAAATACAGTGCAGTCCACGTATAATCATAAAGAAAAAACTCGAAAATGCAATCATTACAACCGATTATTGTTGTATCTTGATTGTATACCCCACGCAAAAATGCAAAATCTAGAAACTGATCGTCATAAGCAAAACATTGTTACATGTGATACTGTTATATAAGTGGATTGCACTGTATCCAAATGAACGAGAATGCCGCCGAAAAGCATGTCTGTTGGCACTGGCATCAGAAGACACATCTCCTGAGTACAAGATGATGGTTCTTCACCTACTGTAAGATACTGCAGAATCACTCACATCGTTCAAGCACCCATTACAGTGTAGACCGCATATAACGTATGTCTCGGGAGTCGCGAAAATCCGCACTATAAGCGGTACCGCACTATAACCAAAACATCAATTTTTCAGGCCAAAATACATGCCATCAGACAACTTACCTTTGTAAAAGAATTTATTTTATGTTAAGATGAAAAATAAAGCTTAGTTTGAGGAAAGTCTTTATCTCATCAGACTAGTACAGTTCTGTCTCAAGTGTGTCACACATTTTGAAAGAAATGAGCGGCTTTTGCCTGGCGCAGCCTTAACGGCGTCGCGGGTTGTGGACGGACGTTGCGAGCGTTCAGGATTGCTAACCCTAATCACTTTTCTCCGGTGATGAAAACGCGTGAAAATTCGCATCCTTTATATGGTACGCGCCAGTAATACCTTGAACATGAGCACACGCATGAAATGCGCCAAATAAGAAATCCGGGCGATGTTCGAGGACACAAATGCTTAGAAAGCACCACTGTAGTCGAAGTAAACAAACACGACGACACGGGCGTTTCTGGCGTCTTGAGAGCGCCGCCACGACATCGCCGCACGAGTAGGTGGATCTTCCCTTGTAGTACGTGCTGGGTTATCATAGCCACACGACGAAAATTCACAGTCAAGGATAGCGCTTTTACACGGAACGATGAGATGGACGCCGTCTACGACGACGATCACAACCGACGCCATGTTTGCGGAACAGAAGCAGCCGGCCCGCGACCGGAGGAGGAGAAGCGTTGCAATAGAGGTTGGGGGGGAAAGGAGAGAGCCAATATGCAACGCGCGCGAACACTTCTCCTCGACCTGTGATTGGTCTGTCGTTGCGGTTGTTTGTTTCTTTGTTTCCAATGCAGCGGAGGGACGCACGCACGTGAACGACTCGTGCGTGCGTCCCTTCGTCGCTATGGCAACTGAAGCCTCTCTCTTCGCTTCTCCCCGCGTTTTCGAGCAACCTCCTTGCCCCGCGAGTGCAGCTTGCGGCTCGCGCCGTCAGCGCCGTTATCTAGTGTCGCACAGGGAAGCGAGCTCGCTGCTCCGGTCGTCGGCGCGGTCGGCGGGCTGTGCCAAAAACCGCACTATAACCGGTATTTCCCTTTGTGCGCCTGCATTTTAAGCCGTATGTAATTACATGGAGTTCTAGGGGAGGTGAACTGGTGGTTTAAAAAAAACGCGTTATACCCGGTCCTGCACTATAAGCGGTTACGTTGTAAGTGGTCTATACTGTATTAACAATTCCCAAACTTGGGAATTCTGCAAGTTATACGTTAAGTGCCCCATTTTACCGGACAGGTGGCCATGTCTAGATTAACCCAGTTTTCAGTGAAAGTGGAGTGGGCACTTCCTCGGTACTGTACGGTAGATATATATCCAGATACAAGATTTTAGAGTAAGACTACAGTAACGAAAAACTTAAACGTTTTATTAAGGCACTTTTTCTAATAGCAGTACTGATGTAGTACCAAATGTTTTCCCCGATTGTAACTTGACATTTTACACTAAGTCTACACAACTTGACTGATTCTTACTAAACCTTCAGCATTCAGTTCTTTTTTTTATGTTCTCTAAGGATGGAGAGGAGAGAACCTTGGAAAGGTTTTTGGTGCTTAAAGGGCAACTCCGCTTCATTTTTGATATTTAGAAAACTATGTAGCCCTCTTCAGTATCATATAGGAAGACCCCATGTCAAATATTACGATCTAGTTCCGTTTATATATTTAATAAACTGGCCAGCAAACCTTCAAGCGAGCCAAGTCGCCGAAATCTGCCAACTCTAGCGTGCGACGCGAGGCGCAATCATCAGCGCAGTCAATGCCACGGAGTTGGAGCGGCCAACATTGAACCACTACGTTAGAGGCATGACTACGTCATTCTCAGATTTTGCTTGTTTTTACTTCTCAGAGCGAAATTGAACGATGACGTCATGAGTTTCTCTTCCCGGTGTTGGCTGACCGGGCGTTCACGTGATTACCGTAACAAGGATGCGCTAGTTTGCGCTGCCCTGTGCGCTTATCGGTCTGTTTCTCCGCTCCCCTTCTCCCCTTCCCCCTCTCCCCCGGGCCATCACCGTCCACGCCATGCAAAGCAACGTGCCCGCGTCCAATCAAAAAAAAAAAAAAAAAAAAAAAAGACCTGCTTGTGTCGCGTGTCCTGTTTCTCGCTCCCTCCCGAACGTCACAAGACCACGTGGTTCGACGTGACATGGCCATGACTCTGACGACCCGAGACCAATGTTGCCTGACACAACCGAAGTTTCGGTTTCGGTATCTGCTGATGTTTAAATTAGGATTACACAAATAATATTCCACATTTCGCGAATCCAAAGACATAGAGTTGTTTAGTAGTGCTTTGTGAATTTGGATCACATGGAAGCCTAAATTTTTCGGAATTGAGTGGAGTTGCCCTTTAAAGGGATACTGAACCGAAATCTGGATTTTGCAAATTAAGGCTGCAGAAGCGTTGCACGGAACGCTATGAACTTCAAAACATCGCTCATACATCGATATCTCTAACGGATGGCCATATTTTTGGAAAAGGAGGGCGCAATCCTCCTGGAACAGTTGAGAATGAGGGGAAGCGGCCTCGCTTCTTTCCTTAACGCTTTGGTCCACCAGCTCGATGGGATGTAGCGAGGAGGAGAGAAAATAAGAATCGTGATGTGACTTGTCTCGTCGGCCTCATTGGCCGTGTTCAATTGCGCACTTCTTTTGCGAAAATATGGCAATCCATTGGAGATATCGCTGTATGAGTGATGTTTTTGGGTTTTGCAGTGTCCCGCCTATCCGTCTAACCTTGTTTTGTGCGCTCGAAATTTCGGTTCAGTATCCCTATAAAGGGAAACGAAAATTAGACGGGCAGAATACTGTAAAACCCTTAATTTTCGTAAACCCTTAAAATTCGTGAATTCAAAAATTCGCAAAAATTAAGGGCATCTGGAATTCGCCAAATTCAGTGGCCGCGATTATGTCCTCGCTGACCGATCCGCAAAAAATAAGGGCTGCAAAAATAAAGGGTTTTACAGTATTCTTCAAATGGAATACTCCTGGGCTACTGGTATGTTAACCAAGTTTCGAGATTTTTAGAGCTCCAGTAATAGCAATCATTAATTTACAAATGTTTATTATTTCCATCTGGTAACCAGGCAACACTGCCCAAGTTAGTCACACCATGGTTAGAGCTCATGCGGATAACAGTTTGACCATCCGCATCCGCAGACTTTGTGTCCACACCCGAACCGCATCTGCAATGGTCTTAAATTATTGCATCCACTTGCATTCACATCCACATAGTTTGTATCTGCATCCGAACCATTTCAAGAAAATTCAGAACCGTATCCGAACTGCAATCCATACATTCATGTTACATCATAAAATAAAGCGTGAATGAAAAAAAAAAAAAGTATGCAGATGGTATTTTATAAGCTTTTTTTCTCATCTTCATACAAAAAACTCTTCGAGACTAAATACGGTGAAAATCATTCTATCGTGTTCTGTTTTATTGTATTCAGTATTATAAGCGATTATACTTTCAAAGACACTTCGCGTCGGTGGAACGATGATCACAGTTGTGAAACCATCCTGGGAATCTGCGACACTTTACCCAGAAGAAAAGATCAAAAGAAGAGAAATATAACTTTTTTTTCATCGTAACATTTATTTTGGGCAGACTAATAACATTGTGCCATTTCATTTAGGTCAAAGAATAAAAATGAGAAAAAAAAGGTGGTCACTCACTGCAGCGAAGCACTCGTATATACGTGGTAAGACGTACGCGAGTAGACCACTGGGAAAATATCACAATATTCAATAATGGCAACACCTTCTATTGGTTTAAGTTTTAAACATGAACCCACAACTGCATGCTCCGCACCACACACAACAACTTGCCAACTGTTGCGAAAAAAAAAATAAGGCACACACATGCCATGTTTCACTTATTGCAAAGGCTTCTTCTATACAGTCTAACCCAAATATATCGAATTCAGAGGGGATCGTAAAGTAGTTCAATATATCAATAATTCAATATACAGAAATATGTTAAATTAAGCTCGAGTTGAAATTTCCCGCCACCTCTGCTAATACCAAAGGTCGCGACAAACGGGAGCTTACTGAATAGAGCATCCAAGAGCCACTAAATATGGTAGAAAGTAGTTGGCGGAGACTGCAAACACTGCAGCACTCACACGCGCGCCTGGCCTGGACTTTCACGCAGCATAAACAACAAAACACGAAAATAATAAGAAAAAATGAAAGAAAAACAGAAAAGCGAGATGCATTGAAAATCTTATTGTATTATGTACAATAATATTGCACATAATAGAATAAGCACCATTCACAATTGCTTGCCAAAAAGTGTAAAAGATTGACAAAGAGCTCTAAAAAAAAATGAAACTAAAGAATTTGGTGCAGGGTCGCTTGAACTTACAGAAACAGAGAAAGAAAGACTAAAACGGGCCAAAACGACAACGCGCTTTCTTCGCTGTTTCTCCAAGTTCAAGCTGCCTTTCACCAATAGGTACCAACTAGCTCAACTGAAGCCTGTAATGGTAGAATTACCATTATAAAAGAATCAATTGTTAAAGATTTGTCAAGGCATGAAAAAAACTAAATCACAGAAAACATTCAGGCTTGTAAAGAGAAGGTAAAAACTCTAAAAATCGAAAGAGAAAACAAATGGATCCAACATTTGCTTTCTAACAATGCAGAGAACATTGAAAAAAAAAAAAGCAACATAATTTAGAATTTATTTTGCATTTGACTTCGGTTGAATCCTGGGCACCGAACAAGTACGTACCGGCGTCTTCTCCATCTCGTGCACGAAGTACAGCGCCCTCTGCGACGACTGCCCGTCCGAGAAGAAGACAACCAGGCATCTCTGCAAGTGACGGTACGGATGAAGAGGTCTGCCTCGCTCTCTACGTAGTGCCACCAAACCCTCGCAAGCACGCTTGAGAACTTCAGCCCCAATCATGCGCTCAGCAGTCACCCACAAGACAAGAACGTCCCGACCTCCAGCACAGACTCAATCTCATTTTGCTCGTGTTCCAAAGTTCAAAGTCCAAAGTTTGCCCATGTCCAGCGCTGCTCTCTCTGTCTTGTCAAGTGACATGATCTGCCGAAGTAGCTCGGATCCATTCGGGTAAGATTTGGAATGCGGCCCCTGTCTGTGACTACAGTATCGAAGGGGGATTTACGTGCTGCTTTTGCCTTTTAGTTTATACGCATGGCGACACTGAGCCTCGGTAATGATGCGAGTCAATTGCAAGTAAAGCGTGGCAGCTGAATATAATGCGCGCTTTTCAGTAACGGCTCTGTTGGCACGCAAACGTAAAAGAGAGTTTCGTCGTAAAATTATGACGTTCATGATGACACTGCGTGCAACTGCATGCACCCTGAGTCCCCCTCAAATGTCTGGAAACCAATGGGCACTACGAATATATGGAAGTTCCGAATTTCTCATGCTTGTAGTCAGTGTTTTCAATTTAACGTCCAAGATGTGCCTCAACATCCTGCGGACATCCCGAACGTTCCACAGATATCCCCAACTTCCTAAATATATATGGCAGATGTCCTCCAAATGTCTTCAATGCTTCATAAACATTTGCAAACTCGTACAGACAATGGATGTCCCCAACACTTGAAAGACATATACCCAAAATTCTGCAGACATTCTAGACATTCCACACTTTAACATTTAATAGACACTGTTGGAACCTTCTAAAGACATCTTCCAAGATTTTTCCGGTGTCCCGTGGATGTCTTCATTATTTCGCAGAAAGTTTTAATTGTTTTGGGAACCTCTTTAGGCACCACGAATGTTGTCACGGACATTTCCAACACCCCACAAACATCTCAAAGATGTTCCCAACGTTTCAAAGACATCAAACATTCTAGTGATGCCTATGAGACGTCAGCAATTACATAACGTAACCGGATTTTTGGAAGAAAAGTTAAGCGTTTTTTTGTTGTTTTTTTTCACTGCAAAAATGAACTATGTATTGTCGAACAGAGGTTGGGACTAGGTTTAGAACTTACTCTTATTAAATCACAAGTTATAAGCATTATTTTAACAAAGAAATGGCAGCAAGGGGAGTTTGAAAATATGTGGAGAGGAATGATGTCTGCTACCAGGAATGGGCCCCATTCCCTCAGCGAAGATTGCCAAAAATTCACTCTAACTTTTTAATTAAATCATGGCAAGCACTAAAACTTTGACATCTGCTCTCAACTGCCAGCACTATATATGGGTGAAGACTGAGCATTCAGCAACGTAAAACTTTTTTTGTTGAAAATAAATTGTATTTGTTTTTAAACACAATATTTTTATGAATATTGGCACCTCACATCTCAAAGTTTGCAGCCTGTAGAGTACATCTACTCTCCAAAGTTGTCTGCTGTCTGGAGCTATATAGGGTGTACGAGTCAAGTGATAATAAAAAGCGCTCAAAAGAATTTCTTTCTCATTTTGATGGTCCTTATAATGGTTGTACGGTTTATTACGCACATGGGAGACTTTTGGGATGATACAGTTGCTCTACTTTGAGTTCAAGAAGACGTGAGCAAGATTTTATATGTTTGTACAAATTCCTTAGTGGATTAATCCATTGCCCCGATCTCATGTCATCTAATCACGCTCACGTTCCAAAGCGAATTTCGTGAGTTTCTCCTGCTTTTTTAGTTAACCAAGACACCTCAATAAGCCCCACTGCATTGCAAAAGAAGTCCTGTTTCTGTCCTAGTCCTGTTTTATTCTTGCATGTATTCGTATCTATTCACCAACATGCTCGTTTTCAAATATTAGTCCCATGAACTGTGCACAATACTTGTATAACTCCCCGTAGCAGCAGATATGTATGCTTTTAACTCAAGTTTTTTAGCCTTTAAAGAGAATTTTGAGATTACCTTTTTATGATGCAAACTCAACGTACTCAATGATCGAAATTTGTGACCTCTTATGATGAGAGAACACGCTGACGCCATCTACGAAGTGACCCTGGAACTGCATTTTGCATTCTGAGGTATTTGCGACATCAAAAGTACATACTATCTATGAGAAATGGTCGTTTGTGACATTGTCAAAGGTTTTCGAACCAGTAGTGAAAGAATGATGCACGAAAAAAATAGAAAATTAATGAAAGTTGCATCGTGAGAGGTCGTTATGACCTCTTGTCATGAGAGGTCACAAAAGGTTGTGAGGCACATGGTTGTAAGCAGTCGTGAGTGCGTGCTTCGGCCCCCACCTGCTTTCCCAGCTGACAGTGTGGGCCGGCAGTCCTGGGAACGTCGCTGTCGGAAGGGTCCAGACTCAGCTGCATCGAAGGGGAGTGCTCCATGTGCTCCGTGGATGGAACCGGCAGGAAGTCCTCCATCCGGACATCCTGGGGATGACGTTCCGGCACAGGTGGAAAAAGTATGTGCTCTAAATCGTTCCTATGCATATAACTCCAACGAGCGAGATGTCATATTCCCCACGATATCAGAAATCAGATTTATCCAATACGTTTAGAAGCGAAAATTTTATTTAACTCTTTTCGTACCACACCCCTAAGCCATCGATCGCCCGTGGTCGATGGTTTTCACGCGCCTCTGAAACAAAAACCAACTTCAAATTTCTGTGCAGCACTGCCGCACAAAAAAAAAAAAATATGCGCGGCAGTGCCACTTCTTAACCATGCCAACCCCCCCCCCCCCCCCCCCCCCCCGGTGACATTGGGGATGGCTAAAAAGACAGCCTCAATTGCATGATTTAGCTGCTTCTGCTGCTTGTCTTTTTGGATAATAGCAGCAGTGAAAACTGTGAATAATATGGGGTCATTTGATTTGAGCTCCTACAGCAACGTTTCATCTTTGAGGTGCAGGATATTGACAGGTGCTTGATAGAGAGCATCGTCATGGCTTCCTAGGTTGTCCTGAGTCAGGGTGCACATTTTATGTGTGCTGGAAGCCCTAAAAGGAACTACCAGAAGAGAAGCTAGAGAAGTGCTATAAAAAACCTAGGCTGTGAGCAAAAAAAAACAAGTGTTCTGTAGGAAATGCTTTTTTTGCCTGCAACGGCATCTCTGAATGGCATGATGCCACGGAAGCACACTTGCTGTAGGACCACAAAGTGGCAATATCAGCTAGAGCTCCCAAACTTACAGAAGTGATAGTGGTGTGCATGGCGCACACTTCGTATGTTTAGGATTTTTAAATATCATAGTATGGCTTAAAGGAATACTTCAACAAAATCTGAAATATACCTGTCGTGCTCAAAAATAGGCTGAATATGATCCACAATATCCGTAAACGACAATCACGTGTTTCTATTTTAAGATTGATAGCTGTATTTTTCATTATTAACAGCCCCTCTGGTGGGTGCTCGCAGAGCAGCCAGCAAAGAGCATGTGACATCCAATGCAATTGTGGCGCTGACAGGATGCCCTAGCTGTTCCAGCCACCGAAGCGACCGAAGCACGCCAGCGATTGGGCCACTGCAACTAATCGCAAAGCTGCTCGCCACTCAGATGGTTCGGAGATGCCCATGATGATGTCACGATGCTTTGGGCAGATAAAAGGCGGCAGAGAGGTTCACCACACAAGCTGCATCGATTGCTGCAAGTCTTTTTTCAAAATAAAAGTGGCTTGTGTTTCGCTCTGCTCAATTTAGGTGTGATAAGGTAATCAAACTCAATGGGACAGAAACTTACAAAAGTCTGCCCCAACTCAGTTTTCTTAAAAACTCCCTCAGCTTCCCTCTAACGTACCTGGGGCTCTCCGCATGGCTGCTCCGGCCTACCATTGGGCTAGCTCAAGTTGCCACACCCTGTATTTGGTTGGTTTAGTAGTCATCTTGGTGGCTCCGGATGCCCCAGCTGATAGGTTTTAATCCTAGTCGAGGTGCCCGCAATCCAATGGAGGCTCATTGAGGAGAAGGCGCCATGTAACCGTGATTTCAGTTGCTTATCAAAACAAATTCTCAGTCCTCTGCTAGACCCAGATGTGCTTCGTCGGTTTGGCACGTCAAACCCCCAAATCTGTTTTTGCTGGCTCGCTTTCAACAAGGGTGACCAGAAAACATATCCTTACATTGTACAAAACATCTTTACATCGTCAGAAATCAGGACAGTGAAGCATGAAGTATGTTTTAAGTGACCATCTACTGGGAACAATGAAGACAGGGTCTAACTCAGGTTCTTTATGGTCTTTAATTATGAACGGTCTACCGTTCATAAATAAAGACTATTGTTTTTCTAAAGAAGAGAGACCTGAAGAAGATCCCCATGCTGGCCTACCTGTGGGAGTAAAGACCAGTTGCATCCCGTCTCACTCGGGGTGAAGTCGTGAATTTCACTCCAGCTGTTGTTGAAAGCGCTCAGGTTCGCACTCTTGAGGTCAGCTGCAAAAACAGATAGTATCTTTTTGTTGTCACTGCATGTTATGAATTCAGGCTCCGGAGCTGACGAGACAATATAGAGACATGTATTGGTTTCAGAACACTGCAGTCTTCTCCTTTACTTTTCACATGACTTTTTCTGACACAAGGACCCACTCCATAGATATACAACATCTCGCGACATCGACTGCTATATAACATTCCTTTCCCCTTAACATTGAAAGCGCTGGACTGGCTTCCGGATGCGACTGGAGCGTCGTTGGGGTGCATTCTCACAGACCTGACTCAAAGTATCCGGTGATTGCTGTGGGCTGGCGTCACTATGATCCTTCGACTTGGTTGATGCGCCTGGTGACAGCCATAGAAGAGCCGGCATGACCTTGTTGTTGTCTGGCGGCCACTGACGTAGTTGGTCAGCATGGCGTGCTAGCATTTTGGACAGAGTTTCGACTGTTGCCATGCGTGCTCCCGTTGTCGCCGTAACTTTTTTAGCAATCCACTCGTTTCCTGTCCCATGGTTTCTGGCGTACACCAAGTCCCCAGGTTGAATCGTCCAGTCTGCATATAGTGCAGATGCTGTGGAGTGTGATGGGAAACATGTGTCAAGTCGCGAGCGAATTTGATAACCTTGCAGCAATTCAGATGGTGACTTTCCCGAGCTTGATGGTGTCCGTCTATAATTAAAAAGCAGCCTTGCCAGGCTAGTTGTCATGTCGTCGTTCTGTATTTTCTTCAACCCATCTTTTGTAGTTCTTACCACTCGTTCAGCCAGACCATTTGACTGTGGGTGAAATGGTGCGGTCCAGATGTGCGTTATATTGTTCTTTGACGTGAACTTCAAGAACTCGGCACTGGTGAAAGGTGTACCATTGTCCGATACCAAAGTGCGGGGTATCCCGAAGTGGCTAAACACATCTCGCAAACACGACATAGTGTTTGCGTTTGTGGCCTGTTTTACGGGACCGGCCTTGATTCACTTGCTGTGTGCATAGACCACTACCAAGATTATTTTTTTTAAAGGGGCCTAGAAAATCACCATGCACTCTGGACCAGTTTTCGTATATTTCGGGCCAGTTAACTGGTGCCTTTGACGCTGGCATTGGCAACATTTTGACACAGGCATCACACGTCGCTGACGTATGCTCTATTTCCTTGTCCAGTCCAGGCCACCAAAATTGAGATTTTGCTATCGCTTTCATAGCCGACGCACCCTGATGACTCTCGTGCAGAAGTTGTAGGAGGCGCCCCCTGACCTCCCTAAGCACAATGACGAGATGGCCTCAGTATACCAGGTCGTGTGCCACCGACAGCTCTAGTTTCCTTCTGCGAAACAGTTCAAAGTTGGAGTCTAGGCTCTTTTCACATTTGGGACATCCATTCATGATGTAGTTCTCGACCTGCGCTAACACTGAGTCTGTAGCTGTCATTTGTTTCAACTCCCTGGCTGTCACGACACCCTTCTCCAACTGCTTCATAGCAAGCACATATTCGAGAAGCTCACCTTTAGCACCTGTTTCTGTTCCTGCTGTTGCTACTGCCAGTAGCAGTAGTCTGCTCAGGGCATCTGCGTTCAGCATTTTTTGGCCAGGCTTGTATTGTAGCTTGTAGCGGTAGCTTCCCAAAAGCGCACCTATCGTTGAATTCGTGCCGCAGCCATAGCGGGAGTCAGGCAGCCGGATCTCAGCAACCCCTGGAGTGGCTGTTGATCCGAGACCAGGGTGAACCCATGCCAAACAGGTCACCTCTAAACTTCGTTACGCTGAAGATCAGAGCTAAAGCCTCTCGCTTTAATTGAGAATAATTCTTTTCGGCGGCTGATAGTTCTTGATCGAAACCCAATGAGTTTGTCTTCTCAATTTTCTTGGTGAAAAAGGACTGCTCTGATGCCGTATAGTGAAACGTCGCACTCTAGACGCAATTTTTTTGCTGAATTAAAATGTGTTAGCACCTTTGCCGAGCTGAGGGCTTTTTTTGCTTTCTGGAACACCTCATCCTGTGCTTCACCAGACGTCCAGCGAGCTCCCTTTTCCAGCAATTTGTAGAGGTTTGTCAACAAGGTTGACATATTGGGAATATATCTGGCATAAAACGTCAGCATCCCCAAAAAGGACCGCAGCTGGCTTACGTTCTTGGACCACAGTGTGTTTGCATGATGGCTGCCACTTTCGTTTCTAGTGGATGGAGGCCCCGTCCATCTACATGGTGTCCAAGGTACGTAACCTCCTGTTCATTGAACCTGCACTTCTCTTTCCGGAGTTTCACACCGTGATCCCTGAATCATTGTAGAAGTGCTCTCAACTGTAAGGCATTGCCATCAGCTTGTTTGGACAATATCACATCGTCCAGGTATACCTGCACGCCTTTTAGTCCTTGGAGCATGGTCTCCATCAACCGGGGAAATATCGCCGGTGCCGATGATATTCCGAAAGGCAAGCGGTTGTAGCAGAAGAGCCCACAAAGTGTGTAGATCACAGCCATCTTCCTCGATGCGTCGTCAAGGGCTACTTGGTTGTACGCATCTCGTAGGTCCAAGGTGCTAAAACAATCGCCGCTGTTCAGACATTCGAACAGATCCTCGTTGCGTGGCAGGGAGTACTGCTTGACTTCACATGCAGGGTTTAGGGTCGCCTTGAAGTCCCCGCAGATGCGCACTAAGCCGTCCTTCTTCAGCACCGAGACGATTGGTGTAGCCCAGTCTGAGCGAGTGACCGGTGAAATAATTCCAACTTCCAACAATCGGTCAAGTTCTGCTGAAACCTTATCTTTCAGGCAATAAGGAAGCGGTCTTGCCTTGCAAAACTTCGGTGTAGTACCCTCCTTTAGGTGCAGTCGAGCAGGTAGTCCCGTGTCAGCTCGATGCCCGGAGTAAATAGATCTTGAAACTCGCAGAGAACCGCCTCCAGATCTTCCACATTGACTAGTCTGCTACTCAGCGGCACGACATTGCCTGGTGCCGGCTTTGTTCAGCTTGAAAATAAATCACGTCCACACAAACATTGTCTGCACTGGTTCAACACAGTCAAACTGCAGTCTACTAGGGTGCCTCAATATGAGACTTGCATGTGCAGCTCACCCAGCACGGGTATCTTTCCTAGGTAGTAGGATAGTTTCAATTGCGATGCTTGAAGCCTCGGTCAGTGTTCACGCTGTTGAGTGTAGACCTCCCACGAGATGACACAGACAGGTGATCCAGTGTCTACTTCCATCAGCAGATCAACTCCACCCCAACAGAACTTGCGCCGCACTGCTGGAACCAAATCCACAGTTTTGGTCTTCATGCTCCATATCTGCATGTCTTCGGTTTCCGTTTCCTCCAACAAGCTTTCTGTTGCTTCTAGTGCTTTGGCTTGCACATGCGGCCTAGAATATGACCTCTTTTGTCCAGGATGTTGACAGTTCCGGGCCCAGTGACCACATCTTCCGCAGTGGAAACATATGGTTCCTTTGCACTGGCAGCTGTTACCTTCGTGCTCCCGTCTTCCACAGCGCTCACAAACCCTCGTGTGATGTTGTCGTGGCCGAAATTTTTCGCACCTTTTTCCTTGGACCTTTATCCTGAGGACCTCCGAGGGTTTGTGTCGAGTCATTCTTTTGACATCCAATCCTGCAACTTCAGCCACTACGGCTAGCGCTTCTGCATCTGCTAATTTCAGTTCCCGTTTTGACAGCAGTTGCTTCTGAAGGTTCTTTGACCGAACGGCACAGATGATCCTGTCTCTCAGCATTCTGTCCAACATCGCCGAAAAATTGCAATTATCCGCTATTCTGCTGATTTCGACCATGAATTCGCAAATCGACTCTCCCTCTTTTTGACAACGATTGAAAATTCTAAAGCTCTCAGATGTTTCGTTGGGCTTTAGATCGTAGTCCACATCTAGTCACTCTTCCACAGAGCACTCAAACTGTTTTTGTACCTAGTGCCGCTCCGAGCAATGCTTGTTTCTTTGCGTCATTTCTAACCTCATTGCCCTCAAAGTAGGCCTCTACCTTGATGAGGTACGTACTCCATTTGTCCTTGTCTTTGTCAAAAATCTGGCAGCTGGTGATTCATCTTTGAAAAACCTGCAAACTGGTGTGCTCTTAGGATGGACGAAAAATCCTCCTCGCTGTGGGTGTCTTCATTGTCCTGGCTTGTCGCCACTGTTATGAACTAAGGCTCTGGAGCTGACGAGACAATATGGAGACGTGTATCGGTTTCAGAACACCGCAGTCATCTCCTTTATTTTTCAAGCGACTTTTTCTGTCACGAGGACCCACTCCGTAAATATGCAACATCTAGCGACATTGACCACTATATAACACTGCAGCTGTCACTTGATCATCTCGTGTGTTCACATATAGCTCACAGATTTCTAACTGAATTAGCTTTTCTTGTGATTTATAATAATCGCAAGGAAGATTTGCAAGGAGAGAAAGTATGCAGGCGAGCTGGCTAGGAAACATCATGTTCTAAACCAGAGGCACACAACCCAAAAATGACGCGGGCCAAAAAAATGTTTATTGGGAACTGCGCAGGTTTTCAATACCTGGCATCATCGCACTGGTGGCCGTCTCGGCACATCTATGTCCGCGGGTCGCACAGGAAGTGCACACGAGCCCATGTTGTGCACCCCTACTCTAAACCCTGAGGCAAGAAGAAATAAAATAACGAGCAAGACAATGTTTTGTTCTTGTCTCAGGGTTTAGATTGTGACAAGGAAGATGCAGTACCAACTAGAAATACCACTCATTGGTGCCACTAACCACAGCTCCTCTCTTATTAACATCAGCCTGCCACTTATTGGCTACAACTCACAACTACTAAGTGCAACTCATCACTTATTGGTTATGGCTTTCCACTATTGGCTACAACTCAGAACAACAACTCACCACTTATTGTCTACAACTCACCACTAAATACATTTCACCAGATCTTTGCAGCAGCTTGCCACTTATTGGCTATAACTCACAACTACTAAGTGCAACACATCACTTAGTGGCTATGGCTTCCCACTATTGGCTACAACTCAGAACTAAGTACAACTCACCACTTATTATCTACTACTCACAACTAAGTGCAACTCACCACATTGGCTAAAACTCAGCACTAAGCACAACTCACTACTTATTGGCTACAGATACCAACTAAGTGCAACTCAGCACTAGGTCCAGCTCACCACTTATTGGCTACAACTCGTAACTAAGTGCAACTCACCACTTACTGGCTACTACTCCGTACTAGCTATACCCGTGGCCACCACTTATTGGCTACAACTCACAACTAAGTGCAACTCACCAGTTATTGGCTATACAGCTCACAACTAAGTGCAACTCAGCACTAAGTACAACTCACCACTTATTGGCTACAGCTCGTAACTAAATGCGACTCACCAATTATTGGCTACAACTCAGCATATAACCCACCACTTATTAGCCACAACTCAGCACTAAGCACAACTCGCCACTTATTGGCTACAGCTTGCAACTAAGTGCAGCTCAGCACTAAGTACAACTCACCTATTGGCTAGAGGTTGTAACGAAGTGCAACTCACCATTTATTGGCTACAACTCAACACTAAGTACAACTCACTCCTAATTGGCTATACAGCTCACAACAAAGTGCAACTTTGCACTAAGTACAACTCACCACTTTCTGGCTGCATGTTGCACAACTAAGAGCAACTCACCATTTATTGGCTACAACTCAGCACTAAGCACAACTCACCATTTCACAACTTGCAACCAAGTGCAACTCATGACTGATTGGCTAAAGCTTGCCAATTATTGGTCAAAACCCAGCACTAAGCACAACTCACCACTTATTGGCTAGAACTCAAACTAAGCTTGCAACTCGCCACTAAGTACAACTCACTACTTATTGGCTACAACTCGCAACCAAATGCAACTCACCGTTTATTGGCTACAGCTCGCCACTTACATACACCACCAACAGCAGCTTGCCACTTTTGGCTACAGTCTGCCAGCATTACAACTCACCCTCCAGCTGGTTGTATGTGAGGCAGAGGCAGCCGAAGCGCATCTCGGAGCAGGACTCGATGGACGGCTGAGTGGCACAGCTCAGGAAGAGGTCCAGGTGGCAGCAGTCGCGAGCGCGTAGCTGCTGGCAGGCCGTTGCCAGTCGGCAGTCCCTGCACTTCCTCAGGAACACGCTGCAAGGATGCCCTGCCTTAGCTCGTGCTCTTTGCAACAGATCACAATCCCCAAGTAAAACTGGGCATGACCAATCATGTTTTTAACACAGAAAGTGTTAAAAACACATTGTGCATTTGTGTATTACATCATGCTATACATTTTGACTATCGTATGATACTGCGGAAGTGCCCACTATCAACCAGTGGCGTCACAAGGGTCAGCGACACCCAGGGCAGTGTCCCGCCGCGACCGGTGGCAATCAGTCCATCGAACGACCTTTCATCGACAGATTGCTTCATCGACATGCGATGTTTCATCAACAGCTCAGATTAGATTTTTTCTGTAATAAGCTGCATGAGACTGTCACCGCAAAGCGGCGTGTGGGTTAACGTTTTTACAATGAGCCGCCGCAGACTGTCATCACAAAGCAGCGTGAATGACGAAACGTCCCTAGAGCGCGCAACTTGCATTACGAGTGTTGATGAAATATTTGTCTTCAGATGGTTGGTTACCTCTGCAAAGACCGAGCCGTTGAAAAAGGTGGGGTGTCCCGTTATGAGGTCAGCTCTAATTTCACCAATGCCACTGCCACAGGGCTCTGGTACCAACCATCCGTATCAATAGACCGATGTCACCAAGCGAACTGCGCAGGCGCGCGTATTCCGAAAGTGGTGCCGCTGCCATGCTACTTGTAGTCATCCCTTCCCGGCTACATACGGCTGCGCGTACGTATATCATCATAGATTATCATTTGGCATGCCTTGATTCTCTTGCATGTTATTACTTCATAAGATTGTGTTGTTCGTGATGCCTTACTTTCCTCAGCAAGTCCAGAAAAGCAGTTTCAGTCGTCTCATCGCTTTAGAATCGCTTTGTCGTCTGCTTCGTCGTCGTCTGCTTCTTTGTCTTCGTGAACGCGTAAGCCCACTGCCGTTCACGAGGTAATCCCACTGCAGCCGCGGAAAAAACAAAACAAAAAAACAACGGTGCCACTACTTGAGCATTTCGACTTCTCGGACGTCTCAATTAGCTTGCAAACAAGTGAACATCTAGTGCAATTGCAAAGAACAAGAAAATTCGAGGGACAATCGGCTCGGTGTAGCACCACGGAACAGCATCAAATGTGATGAAAAACTGAGCTTGGTGGGGCTCAATCTTGTGTATAATGTTTAATCAGCCATCAAGTAAGAGGAGGTAAATAGACTTTCTCGGTCAGCGATAGTTTTCTAAAAGTTGTTTTATTCTGGTTGACAGCCTGTGCGACAGAGTACAGATGAACAGTGGGAGAAGCCTGCACACAAAGAACTGATCTACAGAAAGGCCATGTTTGACGCGCCGTAATAATTGGCATCTATCAAAAAGAAGCAACCATGCCAGATACCTGAAAGCTTGGGGTAGAAATGATTTTTCGTGCACAGTTTCTATTCAGTTTTATTTTGTTTGCGCAAGATCCGAACGCTAACGGTCGCCCGACGGGGGAACCTTTTTTGTGCCGTCTCGACTGGTGCTAATACAGAATGGATCAGTAACACCATCCTAATAGACCACCACAAAATGGATGGGGTTCGTTTGTTCCATTTTTGGCGGTAAGTACATTTTGTACTTCTACCGTAATATCCCGAGTCATCGCCTACCCCCGAGTCATCCCCCCCCTGTTTTGGGCAAAATATCGATTTCGTAAAAAGCACCGAGTCAACGTCCACCCTGTTTCGGGCAATCAATCTCATAAAAAAAGCACCGAGTCATCGCCCAGACCTGAAAAAGGTCAATTCCGAGCCCCACAAATGGCAAACAGAAAAAAAAAAGAAAAGAAAGGTCGCCCTTTTGCATTTTCACGACTCCAAAATCGGAGGATGCGAGTGCAGAAGAAACACAATAAAGATAAGAAAGTGAACCTATATTTATCTGGCAAACAAAAGCAGACACGTTTCCGATCCTTTCTCTCCTGCCCGCACGCCCCCCCCCCCCCTTCCCGAAAAAGAAATAAATATAAAAGGCCAGAAGGTCCGTTTGCAATATAGCGCCTGGACGTGCGGATCATAGGGTCAAAAAAGATCGTAGGAGGGAAAGAAAGAGATAACAGAATGCCGCTTTATGTTCTTTTTTCAGTTCATAACTAAAAGTTTGTTTTCACCAAAAAGATAAGTCAGGTTGTGAAACCTCAACTTAAATAGGACGCGGATCGGATGACTAACTCAATACTGCGAATACAAGTGGTTCAGAACAAAAAGCCTTGTTTGGATTCGATTTTCTTCGTCCAAAACCTACTCCGGCCGACTTGGCATTCTTTGAGAACGTCGCAACCACTCCGCGCAAAGTCGGAGTATGTTTATACAACGCCGCTTCCTTTTGTTCCTAACTGAAAGTCCGTGTTCGCCCAAAAGATAAAAAACGCCCATCGGTAAACCGCAAAGGGGGCAAACACACAGGCATTCTTTGCGAATGCCGCGACCGCCGTGTGCAAAGTCGATTGGAGTTCGCGACAAAGAGAGACGAATGAGAATAAAAGGCAGCTTTGTTTTGTTTCTAAACAACTTGCATTCGCAGTATCGAGTTATTCATCCGGCCCGCACCCTATTTAAGCTTCGGTTTAGAGGTCTGATTTCCACTCACCGTCTGTTGCTGCCAGCGGTGCTGCTCAATTTTTATACGAGATGCGGAACAGCTATACAGTGAAGAGGAAAGTAGAGATCGTCGAATGGCATCAAAAGCATGGATCGAATGGGAGTGCAACCGCACGTCACTTCGGCGTGGACCGCAAGCGCTTGCGAGAGTGGGACTCTAAATTTGAAACGTTGCTGCAAGAGTGCCACGGAAGCAAGAAGTTCCGACGCTCCATCCACAGCGGCCGCGCTGTTTTCAGCGAAGAAGTCGACGAGGGCCTGATGAATTTTCTGACAACTGAAAGAGCAGCGGGACGCGTGGTGAGTAACCGAAGCCTTCAGGAGCACGCGCGGCAGCTTGCCCGGGAGTTTAATCTCGGAAACTTTGAGGCCTCCCACCAATACCTCTCCCGATGGAAGAAGCGTTTCAACGTTTCGCTCCGTGTTGCGACAAACGACAGCCAAAAGCTGCCGGAGGACTACGCGGACAGGATCGCCTCATTCCGGAGTGCTGTGCACTCGTTTCGGCGTCGGAACGAGTACACCGACTTCAACATTGAAAACATGGACCAGACCATGGTGAGGATGGACACCCCTGCAACCAGGACAAACAACTTAATCAACGAGTCCAGCATCCGGATCACCAACACCGGTTGCGCGCGGCGGGGCTTTACGGTTGCCCTGTGCGGCTGCGGGGATCAAGCTTCCTGCTTTTGTCGTCCTCAAGGAACCTACTGGACGCATTCCACCCCGCGCCTATTGCGCGCTAAAAATTCCAGGTATTGTATTCCTTTTTTACTTTCCACTTCTTTTATCTGCATTCATATGTTTAAAAACAAACCGACTTTTATTAGGCTGTTGTTCCTAATCGTCGATTAAGGCCCGTTCACACTCTTGCGACTGCTTGCAACCTCTTAAACCTGGGTTCCTTAAAACTTCTTAAACCAGAGAACACACTGGCGCCATCTATTGGGAAGCAGTGTAAACTCGGCGGTCCGGCATATTTTTTTTTATTTCTCGCGCAATATCCTTTCTTTTTTGGCTCGAAAAGCTTTTGTAAATGTTATAAACGAGCCTTTCTATAGGTATTACGCACATTTGACCTCGGAAATCCCGCAAAACCTTAGCTTTTGTGAAATGCAGTTCTAGGGTCACCGCATAGATGGCGCCACAATGTCAGTGTGTTCCCTCATTCTAGAAACATTGCCCGTTCACACTCTTGCGACCGAGTACGACTGAGAGAGACGAGATCTCTTACAACTTCTTAAATGTTTCTAGAATGAGGGAACACACTGACATTGTGGCGCCATCTATGCGGTGACCCTAGAACTGCATTTCACAAAAGCGAAGGTTTTGCGGGATTTCCAAGGTCAAATGTGCGTAATACCCATAGAAAGGCTCGTTTATAACATTGACAAAAGTTTTTCGAGCCAAAAAAGAAAGGATATTGCGCGAGAAATAAAAAAAAATATGCCGGACCGCCGAGTTTACACTGCTTCCCAATAGATGGCGCCAGTGTGTTCTCTGGTTTAAGAAGTTTTAAGGAACCCAGGTTTAAGAGGTCGCAAGCAGTCGCAAGAGTGTGAACGGGCCTTAACATCTATTGCAGCGAACGTGCGAGTAACATGCTCAAAGAATGGCTGGATGACATCTCCTCTGCTTGCACAATGGGTCACAAGAGTCTGGGGGCCCAACAGGGATGACGTACGGCGTCTTCTTGTGTTGGACCAGGCACCGATCCACAAGACCGGGGCGGCTCAAAAGGCCTTCAGCGAGGTGGACACCGATGTCGTCCTGATTCCCAGAGGATGCACGTCAATCCTGCAGCCTGCCGATGTGTCATGGATAAAGCCATTCAAGGATCACCTCCGAGGCATATGGGCCAAATTCATGAGAGTGGGAGCAATGACACCGAAGGGGAACCTGAAGAAGCCCTCCCGACAGGACGTCATCACTTTCGTGGCGGAGGCATGGGCCGCGGTGTCTGACCGTCTACCGCTCTTTCAAGAGATGCGGCCTCTCCACTGCGCTTGACGGCTCGGAAGATGGCGAGCTGAACGAGCGACTGGCGTCCGCCAAAGAAGCTTCACCTGCGGCGCTGGAGCCGGAACAGCGAGAGGGGATGGAAGACGAAGCCATCAACATTCTGTTCGACTTGATGCGTCATTTGACGGTTTCGACGAGGACGACGAGTAAATAAAGATATGCTCGTACACCCCAGCGCAAACGTTTTCTTCCTATTTTTTCACGCTTCGTTTATCTCGGGCGGCATGCCAGACGCACCGTCCACAACGCAGCCAGCCGCTCTACGCGTCACCTTACGAAAGCCGCGCTATCTGTAAAAGAAAACATTGTTGTTATTGTTGAGCGTTGAAACGCCGTCAGAGCTGTAGGCGATCGAAGCCTCTTTCGAGCTCTTTTCTCCCACTCCCCTTCCCCCAACATGGCGCTGACCTACCGGCAGTATAAGCCTGGAAACAAAGCGTCATTTTCCTTTCCCAAAGCATCACCCCCCCCCCCCCCACAAGCCAACCGGGCGCCGGCGCAGAGCATAACCGGTGGCTGCGTTCTGAGAACAACCAATGGCTGCACTCGGCGTCAGTGCCCAATTGGCTTTGGCCGCCTGCAGCTCCGGTTGTACTGCCACAAAAAGTTGTCCCGGAGCCGCGCGCGCGACTGCACAAACTCAAAGGTCATTGAGTTTGTGCGTGCACGTGCTTTCCGCGGCAACGGTCACGCCCGCGGAGAGAGCCTTTTTATGGTTTTCGCTTTTGTCATCTTATTTTTGCTTTTGTACTGGGTTCGTTTTAGGCGTCGGTTAAAGGCTGCCGGTTTGCTTGTTTCCGAAGTCGAAAAGGAAGCATGGACCCGCTTTCCTTTCGGCTTTCGTCACCTTTGCTCGGTCACTGTGGCTTCTTGCGATTTTTCTTTTCTTTTTCTTTTTTTTTTTCGATGATTCTCTTCTTTTTTTTTTTTCCATTCACGTCGGACCGAAGGCTGCAGCGGTCATGGCTTCGAATTGCACTTGCTCGGAGGAGGCGGAAACGAGCTACCCGCGAAGCAGTGGATTTTGCTCGACAGTAAAATAAGTCGCAAGTAGGATACCAACCTGAGATTTGAGTTCAGTTAATCTCCTGTCTAGCTTCGCTATACACAGACAAAAAAAATCACATTTTTAAACTCTTTCAAAACTTTTTGAGCTCGGTACCCGAGTCATGGCCCACCCCACAAGTTTTGAGAATTTCAGGCGGTGGGGGGGGGTGGGCGTTGACTCGGGATATTACGGTAAATTGCATTATGTAATGTTTTCGCGTAGGTATGGAAAAAAAAAAACAACAACTGAAGGCTGCTTCCGAAAAAAAGTTGTTTTATATCAAGTGGTGCATATCGGGAATCGCTGCTCTTTTTTGGTGATTGTCCTGATCTTTTGAAGCACAGTTGTGCTTGAAACATGTCGTCCCAATACCAGTTATAACCACCAAAATACGCCGAGTAAGAAGTGTATTAAAAACGGCCTCCACAAAGCAGTGCGGAGGTCCTATTTAAAATAGACCAACGAATAGGCCGCTACGGAGCAAATGGTCAGAGAGATTCCAGCTTACGGAACACTTCGGCACGCTGTATGCCTCGTGCCCTGTAATCTTACATATTTTAGCTGACGTGCAATAATTGGACATAAATTATGAAGAAAATCGCGAAACAAATCGTAAAACGCTATTTTTCCTGCCGCTCTGTCTGGCTCTGTCGACCTTTCTTTGCCATGCTTCTTTCTTGCGGGAAGACATAATATCCGAGGCCTTTTTGCATGGTGCTGTTATTCTAGCTCCATGGCATACAACATGTGAGGCCACCGATTGAAAGCCATGAGTCAACACCTGGCTAAAAGTCTCGTGCTAACCCGAAAATTTCCAAACGCCGGGCGTACAATGCGTGCCGACGCGGCCGGAAAACTGGGGAGAACTACAGATACCAGAATGCACAGCAGCGGCGGTGGCGTCGCGCAACTCCTCGTGAGATCGGTCTATTGGTGTGGAGAAGGGGGGATTCAGGGACCTCCCAGACCACCCTGACTTCAAGTATACCATTTGCCACGAATACCTCCAGCATTTAGCTGCACTCACCTGCCTTTTGTAGGCCCCAGAATGATGTTGCAGTTGATGCAATCATCGATGGTAACTGTGTTCACATGGTACAGGACATAGATGGTCGAGTCCTGCAAAAAAAAGTGGTGGGCCCTCGTTCACGCAACGAAGCTGGGCCACATACGTCAGAATCACACTCTTGATAAAGTCACGTTTATACTACAGAATCAGTGATATGATTGGCTTAAGCCGTTTTGGAGCACCTTTTGGACCAACCAAAACACTGTTTTGGAGCAGCAAAAGTGGCTTTTGGAGCAGATATCCTTAGAAAAAAAAATATATATATATTAGTTCTAAGTGCTGTACAAGTGAAGGGATTTGTGTTGTGTTGTGTTCTGATGTGACATATTGTGACGGAACTCGCTGCTTGTGCTTTTACTGCTGAGAATGGCCAACCCTGGTCTAGGGTATCGCGATGTTCGGCGATGGCGCTGCGCTCACTGCCATCGCCGAACATTGCGATACCCTAGACCAGAGGTGGCCAAGCTGCGGCTCACGAGCCGCATGCGGCTCTTCGCTTCCTAAAGTGCGGCTCGCTGCTCCCTCTCCTCCCCCTCCCCCCCAAAAAAACAACATGGAACGTGTCTTAAATGAAAAGACAGGTTGCGGTTTGGTACTCCTGTGCTACTGCTACCTTACGCATAATTGGACTGCTTTTGACTCGCAGGGGTTGAAAGTAGTCCCAGTTTCGTTTATTGCTCTAAACAAAGGTTTGCCCCCCCCCCCCCCCCCCCCCCCACGGCTCTTAAAAGTTTTGTGCTTTTGTTTGCAGCTCTTAGGCCGGGTCAGCCTGGCCACCCCTGCCCTAGACCTTCGCGAACACGCACGTGGTGGACACGGAGCCCCATTTTCAAAGAAGACTTTTCTTGGAATCGTGGCAAATCCAGCAGACGCCAGGAAACCTAAACAAGTCCCTGGGCGCTTTGCCCTCTGTGCACGCACATGGCCTCTGTGACCTGACGAAAAAGCTGAAGGGATGACCGTCAACCATAACGATCTGTTACAATTTTTCAATTTCCTAATTTCTCTTTTAATTTCTTTTCCTTTTCTTTTCTTTTTCGAAGACAAAGAAGTTAGGAGCCGCTGCTGTCCCGTGTGCCTTCAGTCACCCCTGAAGAAGAAACCGAGTTGGTTTTGAAACGTCGGGTTGCCTTTCAAATATTAGTTGGAGCTACATTTTCAGACTTTGATTTATGAGCTTCAATCCTGATTTGTTGGACAAGTCAAGAAGCATGAAGCAGTAATCAAGAAGCTCGTTAATTATATTTGGCTCACTGCCAACGGATGCAATGGGCGCGTTCAGTAGCGGCCCCGGAGTCAAGGAGTCACTGACTCCTTTCACTGGACGGCCAAAAGTCACTTCCGGTGCACGTAACTCCGGGGCTTCAAAGTCAAGCTCCGAAGCACCGAGTCCGGAGACGGTGCACGTAGAGTCAAAGGAGCTAAAATGACGTAATTTCCTGACTGGTGACGATTTCCGGCGCTAAAAGAGGAAAAAAACAAACAATATGGCGGGATAAGCTGCTTCCGTTCTGTCGTGGGTGCGCGGTTTGCTCACTTTTGTTAATGAAAAGTGCTCAAGGTAAGACAAATAACGCGTTCGAATATCTTTTTCAGGTAAGGCTCTTTCGGAAAATGCATTGGACCGTATTTTGTTTGGTTTGAATATGCTAAAAAACAATGCAAACGTTCATTTGACGCCGTGTCTTGATCACCGTTGCACGAAAACTCGGTAATATTGACAATAGTCTTGTCTGCACTCAACAAAGCAAAACGGGGTATGAACGCGACTTTGGAAGCCGGTTGGACACTCACACAGAGCATGATACCGATTAATGTTTTGTTTGCGTAGCTAAATCGGGGTGCACGTTGGCTGAGGCTCGCTTCGGCCGACAAAACCTTGATCGCCGAGCGCGGCCGAACTTCCCGTGTGTATACGAATACATCTTATAGGAAGTTTGTTACGAAGGGCAGAACAAACTTATGGTCATATAAAAGTATCGCAACCGGTGGGGTAGGTTCGCTGAGCTCTGTATCTTGCGTGTGCTGACGACGTTTTTTGTCGGCTTTTATAACAGTAGCTGCCTTTGCACCACCAAGCGAAGGGCTCGATCGCGTTGCATCACTTCGAACAGCAGCGCTGATGTGTACAATCACCCGCTTTTTCTTCAACGACCTTGTAAAGACTTCTTCAATACCGGCGTCAAATAAAAGCGATCGTGCTCGCCATCGTCTGCTTCCAGTTTATTCGGAGACCGTCTGGCACAGGGGGGGAAGCGGAAGCTGCGTAGAAGCAGGTTTGGAGCCGCGGGTTTTTTGGCGTTCAGTAGGCGCTCTGATGACTCCGACTCGAGTCGCTCAGTTCGGAGGCAAGGGAGGCGCTACTGAACGCGCCCAATGATTGCGTATTACCCAGGCTAGAGGCGCAGGTGGTTGACAAAATCGCCAGCGCAATCCCATGCTGTGCTAGTCATGCATGTTGGCTTTGCGAGTGCGATTCTCACCTATACTCCGTTCCACCTTCAGTCCGAGCGCAGTGGACGCCACGAGCTATCCCAGCCAATCCAGCGCCGGGAGGAAATCGCGTGACCTGCCGGTTGGGCAGAGCGACACAGGGAGCTCAAGGTCACATGACACTCTCTCCACGCTGGATTGGCTGGGATGGCTCCTAGCGTCCGCTGCACTCGGACTGAAGGTGAAACGGAGCATAGGTTCATGAGTATCCGTAGATAATTTCACCCTTCCCTCATCGGTCACTGCAACGAGATGAGGAACTCTGCGGACATACCATCTTTCATACGGAAGCGCAGCAAAGGGGAAAAAAGTGTCAAAAGCTGAACAACCTAGCAGGCTGAGGCGGCGTAAAAAAATTCCCTGGGTGAAACATCAAGCTTAAAAGAATAAAAGAACAATGGAAACGGTCGTCATAAAATCACTTGCGCGAAACACATCGCCACAGCTTCGACAACCCGCTGGTTGCCGTGGAGTGAATCATCCCCCTTTCCACAGAAAACAAATGATTGACAGCATAACGCTTATTTCCTAGCCTAAAACGCTTTGCTTTCAAACATGTTACAGAGTCATTTATTCTACTGAGTTGCAGAAGCGCGCCAGATGGCAACTTGTAAGCTGCCGCTTCCACGTGGGAACATACTATTAGTTTCCAAACTAACCACGGGAGGCGCTGATGGCGCGAGAAACAGTGGCGCCATAGCGGCACGTACAGAGCGTATTCCCAATTATAAAATGTTGTATTCTGTAGAGTTATTTCACAGCCGAAACATTGAATGATTGGAACTGCCTTCCCACTTCGATCGCTATCCCCCTACTAATATATACACGTTGTAATCATTTTTTATGAGAGTCATTGCGCTACTTTGAAAGTATTTGAAATAAATAAATTAATAAATTACCTCGCAGTTCTGAATGATGAACTGCTGACCGCGGACGCGACCCGGGTACTTCACAATCGTGGCACCTTTGGCATTCTCAACGGTGTAGTCTTCTGCGTTTACGTTGCCTCTTTTGTCCCTGGAAAAGAGAGAGAAAACGAAAGTTGTGTTGACACTGCTGGCGGGGGGAGGCACTCACTTGATCGAATGACGTTTTAGCGAACGCCCACGTTTCATCGAACGACACTTTAGCGAATAGTCGGACGCCGCGAAGCGGCGTTTTCGGGTGGGCCAAATGAGTTCATTATTTTTGTAATGAGTTGCCGCAGACTGTCGCCGCGAAGCGGCGTAAAGCGCAGCGCGACGGATGGGTTAACGCGCGCCCCCGTTATTCGCTAAAACGACCATTCGCTCAAATGTCGCCGTTCGCTAAAATGTCATTCGCTCTTGTGATATGGACCCGCTGGCGGGACGTGCGAGCTTTGTTTACAAACAAAAGTAGAGGTCAAAGGGCGCCGGCTGAGCAAATGACAGTAAATTCTTACCATGAATACGTTTTTCGTTCTGGTGAGCTTCTCGATTTTAGGCCACCGGGTTTGAAGGGTGACCGTTTACAGTGCACGCAACCCATGCCAGCAAACATGAAGGTGCTATGATCACTTCTCTAACCGAACCGGACTCCTCTATGGCGCGCCGGCATCGATTTCATTTTCCGTCGTTAAACTAAACGATGGGCGTTTAAAGCAGATATGATCTCCTTTGTATCTCTGCGTTAAAATCACTGCTTTTAGTCAGCTATAAATCGTTGTATTATTCAAATACGAGATGGAATTGGCGTGGCAGTTTAAGAACACGGAGAAAACCTGCGTTCATCACGGCCATCTTGATGCCGTTGCTAAGCGACAGGTGTCCGATAGAACAGGTGATGCGTGACAAAAATAAAACTGCATTCTCAAATCAATTTATTAAAACTAAATAACATATGTATTTATTATATTGAATATTTTACTACGCGTTCATTAGTTTGTTTTATTTATTTGTGTAATCCGTTGGTTCCTACTTTCGCGTTTTCTAAGCAGACGGATTGCTGCTTGTTTTGCTGTAGTACGCTCGTCTGTTTGTCTGCCCGACGGAGTTTACTGCTTTACTTGCCGTGTTGAATTGTCAAGTTAGAAAAGCAGCGGTGATGTGACATTTTAACAACTGTTTCGGTGAGTAAACGCTGGAATACCTGAGAGCGCCGCGACCATCTTAAAATTCGCCACTGGTATCGTCGCCAAAGCACCTCGCGTCTTTGCCGTCGTATGGTTGCGGCGGGTTGCATCAACGCGTTGCCATATTTACCTTATTATTTTAGGCAGCTGCGTTATTCGTAAGATAGCTTTATAACCTACGAATTCGGTGTCCGTTCGAGACAAACTTCCTAAATGACTGGCACGCGCTACGTAAGTGTCCTTACTAGAGGCGGCTGCGTTTTCGCGAGTCAGTCGCCTTCACGGTGTTGACAACCTAGTTCGCTCAAAGAAACGCTTTTTAATACCAAGCTCTCCAGCAGTACGACTGATCTGATTGCAATATTGTGGAGTAGTTGGCTGCCAACTGCATCTTGTTTAATTATAAAATGTCCTGACAGTTTTTTTTTTTTTTTTTGTGTGTGTGTATATTTTATTCTGCGATTGCTAGCGGCTGAACTGCAGGTAAGATATCATCTTTGCCCCTAGTACGCTGCCCCCAAAAGCTGAGAAAGTTCGTCATGTTTGAAGTAGGAACTTCTCTTGCGAATAAATAAAATAGGTGCGCTATTTATTCCCCAAAATGAGTAAAGCACGTCGGCGCATGGTGTTCTCTGTCTTTGGGACGTCAATTTCAATTTATAGAAATTTTGTTCTTGCAGTTTCTTTCCAGATAAAAATCGAAATTCCTGAGTATGAATCGACACCCTATACCCAAAATGAACATTAGGTGGGCGTTTTGGGAGTGGAGAAGCTAATAATAAAGAATTTGTTATTCAATCTTTTGCAAAAATGGCAACGTAGTAAGTGTGACTCAGGGGAAAATAAATATCGTAGAGCGAAGTAACGCGAATTTGCAGTGAACTAGCTTCATCCTTGAACCCAGCACCGGCTTATGGATCCCCAGTTGGCAGGTTTGAATTCCGGCCAAGATGCCAGCAATCTGGTGGAGGCTTATTGCGGAGAAGGTGCCATGGGTGCTTGCTTGGTGGTATGACGACGAGGCACTTTCTGTTCCATACTTTCTCATCTTCTAGGTGATAGGCATTCTCCCCCAGGTATTTCGCCACCTTGAGGGGTGCAGAACAGCTGAGGCTACCTTTTGTATTGCGTCCTGGTACCTTGACCCATATTTTATCTCCAGGCTTCAGCACACTGACTCTGGCTCCCCAGTGGGCATCCATATACTTCTTGTACTTCTGCTGGTATTGAGTCACTCGTCGCAGCTCTCCCAGACCCTTTGTTGGTTGATCGAAGAAATCCTTGGACGGGCCCCCCACAGTGTCCAGCCTTGTCCTTGGATGGTGTCCATGCAATAGTAATGCTGGCTTCTCGCCTGTGGCTGCATGAGGTGTGTAACGGTAGACTCCTAGGTACTCCACCGCGGCTTCCTTTAGGGGACGCAGCTCCTGGACACTGACTTGCACAGAGTCCTTGAACACATGGTTATACTTTCGATCTATCCATTACTCTGGGGATGGTACACCGAAGAGAAGGTGTCTCACACTCCCCATTCTGTCAAAAATTCTTTAAACTCGGAAGAAACGAACTGAGGACTATGAGCACAGACATGTTCAGTAGGGTAGCCTTCACGGCTAAACACCGCCTGTAAAAACGCAATAATTTTTCTTGACGTTACTAGTGCCGTCAAACACGCTTCGGGTCACTTGCTGAAATGATCAATTAGTATTACAGCGTACCGGCAGTCACTTGGAGTATTGGAAAAGGGCCCAACAATGTCTATTCCCACTTTTACCCAGGGAGCAGATGGAAATGCAACTGAATGTAGGGAATTGGTACCACGGATTTTGCAGACTTGTCAACTGCTTGACAAATATCGCAGGACTTAACAACAGCTTCAATGTGCTTGTTCATTCTAGGTTATCAATACATGTCACAAGCCCGCTGCTTTGTTGTTATTCCAGGGTGAGCTTTGTGTGCTAGTTCCATAACCTTCGTAGTAATAGCGGTAGGAACAACAACCCAATCGCCCCAAAACAGCAGGTCTCCACTCTTGGAAAGTTGAAAGGGTGCCAGGTTAGGATGCAGCTCCTTTCTTGGTGTCCAGGTGCCAGTTGTCAAAGCAATCACTTTTTGCAGACGGTTCTCCTGCCAACTCTCTTTGATTAACTCTTGCTGCGATACACACAAAGAAATGGCACAGACAACCTCGTCTTCCTGGGTTTCCCCGGGCACATCAAGAGGCATACGCAAAAGAGCATCTGCCACAAAGTTTTCTCCCTTCTTGAAAACCATGGTGAAGCTGTACGTAAGCAAACAAGCATACCATCTTGCAATCCTGAATGGTCGTTGGCCAGTCCCCTGCAAACCCAACAGTGTCAACAGTGATTGGTGGTCGGTCTGCAGCATAAAATGCAGACCCCACAAGAAAACGTGCCAGTGCTCGCGTGCCCACATGCAGGCCAACGCCTCATGCTCTCCAGCAGAGTACTTCCGCTCCTGTGGTGTTGGAGCTCGAGAAGCAAAGGAGACGGTCACAAGGTCTCCATTTTCGTTCTGCTGTAGAACAGCTCCAAGGCCTTATGCTGAGGCCTCAGTTGTCACGACCACGGGCAGCTTAGGGTCGAACATTTGGAGAGGCTCGCGGGAAAGTAAGGACTTCAGGCTCTGAAAACTGTTTTCCCACCCAGCCGCCCAGCAGAAATGTTCACCCTTGCATAGTAGCTCACATGGTGGTTCTGCCAGCTCTGCATATCGAGGGATGAACTTGACGTAGCAGTCGAACATGTCCAGAAACAATGTAGCATGGTGATGTCTGTAGGTGCTTGAGCCTTGAAAATCGCATCAACATGGCTTTGCATGGGTGACACTCCCCGCTCACTGACAACGTGCCCAAAGAATGAAAGTTCCCAAACGTTGAAGGTGCACTTGTCGTTCAGCTTCAAGCCTGCTTTGCTGCTGTGACGGAGAACTCCATGCACATTCTCGAGGTGCTCCTTTTCGGTAATTCCAAAAACAATGATGTCATCCAGGTAGCAGCATACTTGTTGACATCCCTTCAGGATTGTACATCATTTTCTGGAAAGGAGCAGGAGCCAAGTCAACCCAAAACAAACCCTGGTGAACCTCAAAAGTCAATCGTAGGTTATGAACACCATCAGGTCTCGGCTTTTCGGTCACAAAAGAACTTGATGGTATGCGCTCGATAGATCCAGGCTTGAGAAGTACTTTTCTCCGACCAGTGCTTGTAGCAGTTCCTCAGTGTGACGCAGCGGAAAGTTGTCAATTACAACGCCCTCGTTTACTTCTTTTAAATCGATGCAGAGTTTAACTTTCCTATTCTTTTTTTTCACCGCCGTGATCGGCGAGGCCCACTCAGACGCATCAATTCTCTCGATGGCGCCTGCCTGTAGAAGTTGCTTGAGCTCTTCAGAGACTTCGTCCTTGACGGAAAAAGAAAATCTTTGCAGTTTGTCAGGAACGGGCTGGACTCCTTGACACTCCTACACCTTATGAGCGAACCTCTACGCGGTACCGAGACTTCCTTCAAAAAGGTGCGCTACATCATCTACTAAGTTTCAAGGGAGTCCAGAAGGTATGCACGTGGTGTTGAAACATTTCAACATGCTACCGCTGATCTCAAGGGACAAACAAGCAGTGGCGTCTATGCTGAGTATGTCCGTACCGTTTGGGACAACAGCTGCCTCGGTGGCTCCGAGGCGAGAGCACTGGCCTACGGATCCCCATGTGGCAAGTTCGAATCCTGGCCGAGGTGCCCGCAATGTGACAAAGGCTTATTGCGGAGAAGGCGCCGTGGTAACCGAGCTTTCGGTTGCATGTCAAAGGATCCCCAGGTGGTCAAAATTAATCCTCAGTCCTCCGCTGGGGCGTGCCAGATGCCCGTCGTTGGTTTGGCACGTAAAATCCCCAAATTTGACTTTTGTTTTTACTTTGACCGTTCGGGACAACATAGAAGCATACAGAAGCCTTGCGCTCCTTGTAACCGACAGCAGCAACAAAGCAGCCTGCTATGGCAATGTTCTGTTGCGAAAAATTTAACTAACTTGCGGATGCACCTTGGAGCTGATAAGCAGAACTGAAGTTTCTTTTGTATGTTCCGACATTATGAAACTGCTGACCCTGTGTCAACCAAGAATATAGGGGCATTCTTTTAACTTGAACCGGAATGTAGTTACCGCTCTTCGGTTTATCGTGCACGTGAAGAATACTAACAGCATCCTCGTCAGAGCCATTCAAGCATGCAACTTCTCTGATAGTACCACCTTTGCTAGTGTGACCGGCAGTACTCTTGCAGACAGCACGGAAATGTCTGACTTGACCACATCCAGCACACTTTTTCCCTTTTGCTTTGCATGTAGTGGAATTTGCGAGATGCCCCGATGACCCGCAGCGGTAACATTTCTTCAAAGTGGAGGATGAAGGCTCACCTCCTTGTGTACGCTCTGGTCACTCGGCGTTCGGAGTAGACTTAATGTCCACCACTGGCACAATGGGTTCGGAAATTATGCTCAGTACTATCGCAGGTCAGGCTGCTTCGGTTGAGATTGGAGATTAATCTCTAATCTTAAAAGTTTGTGCCAAGAAAGAATGAAGAAAAACAATGTGGATCTATACAGTGCCGCTAAAGTGCAGTGTCAACTGTAGGTTGTCATAACACTTGAAGGTAATTGTTTTCGTAGTGTATAATATTCAAATCTTGAGTTTGATAGGTTCATGTAACTAAAGCAAGGGTGCAGGCGACCTGGTTCAACACTGACGTGGTAACCCTGGAGCATGGGGAGTTTTGTGTCTGTCCTACGTCCCTTCTTTTCCCCGTGCTCCTCCAGGGTTACCATGTCAGTTGGTAGGTTCAAAATGCTTAGCGGGACGCGATTTAGTGAGTGTGCAGGTTTTTGCCGGTATTTGACTAAAATTATATTTGCGTTCTAGATAAACTATCTGGAAGAAGGGGGAGGGGGAAAGTGGCTTTGTCTCAACGGAGGTGTTGTGCTATGATTAATTTTTGAACCATTTTATTTTAGTACTTATTGTAAACAAAACCTACTTGGATCTGAGGCCTATCTCTAAAAATAATGTTATGTTTGTTTTGCATCCTATTCACTTTCATTAAACGAGGTAATAAGTAATATGATTTAGTATCAAAGAGGAATCCTCAATCGTGATCAGAGAAGAATTCATTTAGTGACATATTTTATTTTTATTTTCGAGTGATGCGCTAATTGATGTCGGCATCGGATCCAAAAGCATGAGTGGCTGCTCTAAGCCAATATTTTGCCTGCTACAAAAGCTCAATGGCCACTTTCATCACTGGAACTCTAGACAAGACGGCTGAACATTCTAGCTACCGGAGGCCATTGCACGGATTAAACAGCAGTGCTGCATCTGCGTTCGCCTGGAACTTGTGTTCTCAGCAATTAAGCGCAAATCCCAGTAAATGCTGATGCAACATGTCTGTTTAATTTGTGTCCCATGCTGGCTTTCAATAAACAACCTGAAGTAAATCTAACACTAAGCCCTGGTTATCTTGTCTGCACCAATATGAAGACCCACGTGGTTGTTTTGGGGTACATAAAATAAACAATATTATTATCAATAATATTTTATCTAAAAGGTGCTGATGCAATGGTCACTTCTGTTTTGGCGAGATGAAACGTACTGCCCCATCTGAGGCAGTCTCGATGCGTGTCTTGAAAGCGGCCTTCAGGGACGTAAGATGTGTTCTTTAGACACCGTTCATTGTTTCAGCTCGAGAATTTTAGGATGAAGGGGCTCGCATGTTTGTATTTGTCTCCCCTTGTTTCATTCTTTCGTGAATATGCATGAAACCTGAAAGAGGTTATACTTCAAGCTGCTGGGGTATAACCGAGCCTGCATCGTGTCTGTGAGCAGTCAGCTGTATAAGATGGGGTCAGTCGGTCTTTTAGCTTCATTGTCAATACTAGCAAAAGCCATCAAATCTGTCAGTCTGCAAATTGTGGCAACCACAACTTTTTTTGATAAAGTTGAGGCTTGGGTGAGTTGGTGCATACTTCGGAATTAAAAACAGCGCGGAAAGACGAGGACCAGACAAAGAAGTGACACGGACGTAGCACTGCGTCTGTGTTACTTCTTTGTCTGGTCCTCGTCTTTTCGCGCTGTTTTTAATTCCAAACTTTTTTTGGTCTATCCATCAATGTGCCATATTTTCTGGGTTGTTACTGGCAGTCTGAACATTTTTTTTTTATTTTAGAGTTCTACTGGCTATCATGTTTGTTTGCAAATATATATGCTTCTATACGGATAAGGACCGAAGTGTTAATGTTGTTTGGCACGCCACCAGACAATAGCGTCGATGACACAGAGGCCAAAATGTTTACCATTGGGGCATTTTACTATGGCCACAACCGCATTGCTATGACCCCTGCGTGGGTGATAAGCAGCCTGTCTCCTAAGGCCCGTTCACACACTTGCAACCGAGTACGACCGAGAGAGTCGAGACCTGTTGAAACCTCTTAAAGTTTCTTAGAGCGAGAGAACACACTGGCACGCTGGCGCCATCTACGCGGTGACCCTGGAACTGCATTTTACAAGAGCGAAGCTTTTGCGGGATTTCTGAGGTCAAATGTGTGTCATACCTATGAGAAAGGCTCGTTTATAACGTTGACAAAAGTTTTTCAAGCCAAGAAAGAAAGGATATTGTGTGAGAGAAATAGGAAATATGCCGGGCCGCCAAGTTTACACTGCTACCCAATAGGGGGTGTCTGTGTGTCCTCTCGTAAGAGAGATTAAGAGGTTCCAAGGCACCCGGTTCTAAGAGGTCGCAAGTGTGTGAACGGGCCTTTAGCCAAGAGGTTATAGTTTTGTTCAAAAAAGTGAATTTTACTGTAAATGTTTAGGTGCGGAGTACCTCAGAAAAAAAAGACATTCTTTGTTCTTAGTAAACACCTTAATCTTGATCTTGATTGCAGCCGTTAGTTTCCGCGTGCTTTATTTCCAGAAAAGGTTGGGAACAAAGAACAATGCGCAGAAATGTCTCATCTTAAGACATTCATGCTATGTTTGTAGCTTCAGAAGTTCTTAAGATGTGCCACAATTGGTATGCCTAAAGAGTTCTTTGGAAACAAAACAGGACTACGGCAAAAGAGTGAGAAAAAGAGAGAAGCTTCCGGTGTCTCGCAACCAACGAGAGTTTCGAGAGCGAAGCGTTGCCATGGTGGGAAGGGGGATGATTCGCCTGAACTTTTCCCTATCGGTGACAAAACTGGCGTCGCATCAGCAGCATTTCAATCGAATGGTTGCAAAACTGTTTGTAAGAATTAGTCTCCTGTCGCAGAATTTTCTCTGACTTCACGCGCGAGGCAGAAGGACGCCGCATAGGGGATACCGAAAAGTTAGCCAAAAAGGTTAATTCACCTACTTGCAACTGCTTACGACCGAGTTGTTAAGACCTTGCGATCTCTCTTAACAAGGAAGTGGCTTATCTATCGGGAAGCCACGGAAAAATTGCAAGGTAACTGTGTTTTCTACTTTTTTTGCACATTATTCTTTCTTCATTGGCTCGAAGAACTCTAGGGCCACTTCATAAGAATGAGAATATTTATGAGCTACAGTAGTGGTACTCTGGGTAACCCACGAGGCTAGACTGGTGAGCAGGGCCCGTACAGACAAGCGTCTGCTAGCCAGCCAGCTGCCCTCATAGGTGGCTCCGGTGTCTATGAAGGTCCTCTCGTAGTCAGAGATCACAAGAAGTTGGTCATAAGTAGACGCGAGAGTGCAAAGGAAGTTTCGTGAATCCGGCCTCGGTTGTAGAAAGTACCACTTAACCGTCTTTCAGAATCGACGAGGGTGCCCGGAAACACGCTGAACAAGAGCATCGCCCGCGTGGTCTCGGGGCAGATGCGTCGCCGTCCGCCCTGCCCTTAGCCACCCAATCCGATGCTGAGGATGGAGGGCGCCCCGGAGCGCCCGCCGCCCAAGCTGGCCGCGGGACAGGTGTTTCGTCCCATGCTCGACATGCGCCGGCTCTTCTCCAGCAACGTCCTCGTCGAGGGCAACGTCCTCCGGTGCGTGGCCACGCATCCCTGTTTCCAGCCTCGTGGGCATCCCGTTTGTTTGTGCTGGAGGGTCGTACGCTTAGATCAGACACAAATGCCGTCTCATTCTTGGGTATCCTCCTCTAATCGAAGACAAATTTTGGCTGGGCGCGCGCTTGGTACTCTCGTCCGATTTGTGCCTCTTGTTTGCCTCTTCGGGGGACCTCGAAAATTCGGCGCGTCTGGAAGGTCTTCTAGCGCTCTATGAACCCGCCGTTACGAAACCTCATAAATATTGTTAATACTATGGTATTTTATATTTTACGAACGGCACTGCAGAATCCTGGAATTTTTTTGTCGGCGTTAGTGCGGTGCCTGGGACTCATCTCTGACCGGTTTGTTTATTGCGACGAAAGCAGCAGTCCCTCGATTAGCGCCCCACGACGTCGTGGAAGTGTCGCGCCGTCGCCAGTGACGATCCCGGCAGTAAACGCGACAGACGCTGTCCTTTTTTTTTGTGTGTGCACTATTAGTTTTTTTTCTTCTAACTTTTGACAATGTAATGAACAATTATTTCTCCAGCGTCGGGTAAAGTACTTGAAGTAAAGTACAAACTAAATTAGAGGTTATGTACTTCGAGTAAAGTAGTAGAGTAAAACCCATTTAAAACGAACCCACATACAGCGAATTATTGTCAATATCAAACTCACGGAAAATTTAAATAAACATGCATTTAAAAAAGTACTTTTTATAATGAACAACATATTGGCTATATCAAACTTTTTCCCCTCGGGAAGGCTTCCAAAAACGTGCAGACAATCGTCTTCTAGCCTGTTCCTTCCCCCCAAAACTATCTATGAAAGAAAGAAAATTCCAAAAGCTCAAGCTGCGAACAAAATTAACAAAGAGAAGCGATTCAGAAAGGAAGAAAACTAAAAAAACACTGCACGCACGCACAGAAAAAAAAATAACTTCATCGCAAAGTGGTTGCCTACAAAGAGAAAAAATTACAAAAGAAAATGAGCTAAAAAAAAAAAATCTGCACGCATGCCAATAAAAAAAAAAAAAGAAGCTTTTCAGCATTTTGTTACTAGGTGGAAGCGAAGAGATGACAGAGAAAGAGAAGCTCTAGCCTTACAACGAACGCATTGTGGAAGTTTGTTGTAAATGGTTTTTGCTATATTGAACTACTTGCTATATTGAACTGATCGTAGCGTTTCCTGCTGTTCGTTATAAACGGGTTTGACTGTAAGCGCAGCAGGTGCAATGTACTTGAGGTAAAGTAACGTAAAAACAATGTACTATTAAAGTACAGTATAAGTACCTTTTAACGCAATCTTTCGCGATAGAAAGAACGTGACTAAGAGAAAGCGCGAAGTCAGCCCCGTAGCTTCTGCGAGCGACCCGTTCATGGCGGAGCGTCCCCTTCTAACGTATTGTACTTCCTCGCTAGCGCCAACTGAGCGAGAAGTAGTGAGAGTTCAAAAGGGCTGCAGGAAAGCTGCTTGAAAGTGAAAAAATCAGTCTCGAGTTTTTTTTTTATTATGGGGGAAAGCTGTCCCCAGTACCAACGGAGCGACGCGTCGTCCGCTCACGTTTCCGGTGAGAGTAGTGTGTCCTTCCCAGTATTCGTTAGTGTCGAAAATACATTGTTTTGCAATACAAATTTAATGATAATAAGTTTGGGGAATGTACTTTTAAGTCGGGAGTTGTACTTGCTTCGAAAAGTACCGGAAAAAAATACCTCGAAGTAAAGTAAAAGTACAGACTCGTAGAATGTACTACAAGTAAAGTGGAAGCTTTCTAAACCTACTTGAACTATAGTACTTTAAGTGCAACATACTTCAAGTACTTCCTGACACTAGATTTCTCATAGATGATAGGCACATTTGATCTCAGAAATACCGCAAGACCTTCACTTCAGTGAAATACATTTCCAGGGTGTGACAAGTATGTAGCGCCCCCTCCAGTCCGCCCGTCTGCGGCCGCCTGGCTCGGCGGGCAACATTGATCACCGCACCGAATAAACGCCGTTGAGCGCACGCCGCTCCGGTCAGTCATCGTCCACCCTCACAACCAGGCTGCGTGTCGTCTCTTCTCGGCGGGTGCTTCGGCCCCCTTCGTCCACGTTCGAGAAGGATCGTGATACAGGGTCACCTTGTAGATGGCGACAGCACATTCTCCCACTGCAGCAGATCCCCAGAACTCAGTCAACTCAGTCGTAAAGAAACGCAAGCATTTGAAAGGGCCTTAAGAGGAAGAATGTTGACTCCCCTCCCCCATGTTGCAGCCGGGAGTCGGAGAGCCGTCCCGGCCTGTACATCGGGGCAGAACCTGCGAGCACGGAGTGCGGCTACTTCGAGATGGAGCTGCTGGACCTGGGCTCCGGGCTCGGGGACCTGCTCATGGGCTTCCTCTCCCCGGCCGACACGGAGGGCTCTTCCGACCGGCCCGACTGGGAGTCGGCCCTTTCGCTCGGCTGCCGCATCAGCCGGGGACGGTGAGCGGCTGTTTTCCAACTTTGGCAATCCGGACGAAGCCCTTAAAGCACGGAGGCGGTTCTGGGGGTGACCAAAACAGCAGTTGGAGCTGAGTCGGCTCTCCTTCTCGTCCAATAGAGTGTCTCCTAATTTTGGTCGTCGTTGGAGGCGTGTCCCTCCACATTGCCTGCTTCACCTTTGGCAGCGTCGTGTCGCCTCTAGAAGCTTCCTACCCCTATGCTTTAATGTGGCTTCATAAATCAACTCAATGACGTATCGCGCGACAATTTACCGCGGACGTGCCCAAAGGTGGTGGAGGCGTGGCATGAAAATTTCTAACAATAAACTTACCCGAGTAAGAAATGAAAAATCAATAACTGGATTTTTCTGCTTTCTGCATTGCTAATTGCACACTTTTACTGGTGCACCAACCGACGGATGGCGGCCTTCGGGGCTCGGCTGCGGCTTGCTGCAGCTCGGCAGCCGCCTGGTCATGTCAAAAGCGGACGTGTAGCCGAAATTACTCGACGAACCGTCAGTTTTATTTGTTTTGTGTTCATTTAATATGTTTTATTGGGAACAAAAAAGAAATCGTGCACTAATCATTTTAGCACTCAGGAAAAGTGTGCCATTTACGATTCGTAAAGGATTCCGGCTTTTGGCGCGACCTGGCAGCTACCGAGCTACCGTAAATTGCCGCCAGCTGTCGGTTGTCGCGCCGGTCAGAAGGCTTGCGGTTAGCAGACGGGAGCTGCAGGTATAGAAAGACAATTATTGTTTTTCTACTTTTTTATGCCAGTAAGTTTGTTTGTTGAAATTTTGATGCGATGCCTCCATTACCCTTGGGCATCTCTGCGGTAAATCATAGCACAACACGTTACCAAGCCGATTTGTGCGGTCCCTTAAAGGGACACTGAACCGAAATATGGATTTCGCAAATTATAGGCCGCAGAAGCGTTGAACGGGGGACGCTACGAACTCTTAAACATCAGTCGTACATCATTCAATATCTCAAATGGATGGCCATACTTTTGGAAAAGAAGGGCGCGATCAAGCGAGGTCTTTGATTGTGGGAAACAACGCGAAAAACAGACAAGGACGAAGACAAAAAACACGGAATCAGCACTTGTCCTGTGTGTTTCTTCTTCGCCCTCATCTGTTTTTCGTGCTGTTTCCTACGATGAATTCCCACCAACTCGCCCAACTTTCCATTCTTATGAGGTCTTTGACATCATTGTCTACCGGGAGAATTCGAGAATGAGAGGAAGTGGCCTCACTTCTCTCCTCCTCCCTTCGGTTCACCAGCTCGACGGGATGTAGCGAGGAGGAGAGGGAATGGGAGAATCGTGACGTGACTTGTCTCGTCGGCCTTGTCAGCCATTTTCAGTCGCGCACTTCTTTTGCAAAAATGCGCTGATTCGTTAGAGATATCGCTGTTTGAGTGATGTCGTTGGGTTTTGCAGCGTCCCCCGTATCCATCCAGCTTTGTTTTGTGAGCGCGAAACTTCGGTCCAGTTTAGAGGCTTCACCCAGATTCGGGACCCTGCTGTACACTGCCTATAGAATTAAGAACAAAGAACCATTTTTTCTCGCATGCTCTAGTTTTTATTTGAAAAAAAAGAAAATTAAACGTAGCGAAGGTTGGAGTACAACGTCTGTTTTTATCTTCGGGGTGCCCAGCCCTCCCTTTGCAATTGTCGACTTGAGGTCCGATTCGGCTACAATAGATAGCTGCATCTGCTTGGCATCATCAAAGGTCGTGGCGAGAAATCGAGACAAAAGACTCTTCCGTGGGAAAGACGGGGGGGGGGGGGGGGGGGTGGGGGGGGGGGGGAATGATGATGATGATGGGAGGGGAGGGGAGGGGAGGGGGTAGTGACGGAGAGGAAATAGTTTTGTTGACTTCCGACAGAGGCTGCCATGAAAACTCTCGTCCACCATGGTTCCGAGGACCACCACGCACAGCTGCACGTCAGGACGAAACGTTTTTATTTTCTTCTCAATTACGCAACGAAATCGCAATATTTTGGGAAAAGGTGGCACGTGCTCTTTCACTTATGCCGAGATAAACAATAGGAAAAACTACCCTAGAATAACGAGCATCCGCCCATTCCACATTAAAGGGAAACTCCGCTTCATTCTTGGTCGTTACCAAACACTGCGACTCTCTTTAGTGTCATCTAGAGAGACCGAATGTCAAATATTATAACGTAATACCGCCTAAAAGATCACTAAACCGGCCGACAAAAACCGAGATGCGCGAAGTCACCAAAATCCGCTAATTTAGCGGGCGACGTGCTGCGCAGCCAACGTTGTATTTCCGTTGTGGCTAACGTCTGTTGCATACGCAGTTTTTTTCTTGGTATTTTCTTTTCCAGGGAGAGCTTACCGGGTGGCGCTACGGACGCGCTCTACGTTTGAGCAAGCAAAGAGGCGAGCCTACTACAATAGAGATCAGTGGGCGAGACAGACAAAAAAAAAATGAACGAGAACAAGAGAAACAAAAAGAGGACGAGAGAGTAGTACGGGATGAGTTTCGCTGACACACCTGCCAACCGGTGCCAACCGACCAGCCGCCTGGGTTGCCGCCTACATAGCCTGCTTCGTTGCTGCTTGCATTGCCTGTTCGCCGCCGCGGCTAGGCCCGCCCTCCCTCCTCCCTCCTCGCCCTTCCCCTCGCATCCGCGTCTTTCTTGGGTTACCGCTAGTAGATCACGTGACCCCTTGTATTCCACGTGGGTGCGTATGCAACTGACGTTGAGAGTACAATGTTGCCCGGCTGTGCCGAAGTTTCAGTTTCGGTTTGCAATTGTGGTAAATAACAAGATCGCACGAAAAATATTTTGCTTTTAACGAGACAAACGGTCTAGGGTTGTTTTGAAGTACTTTTCACGTTTATATCACCCACTATCTCAAAATTTCCGAAATCAAGCGGAGTTGCCCTTTAAGCGCCCATTCCTAAATTTGTAAGATCTGAGAAAATATGCACAGTACATTGATATGTAAAATTGATGACCGGACAAGCTCCCATCCCCCATTTTTCCGCGATTCTTTCGTAATTTTGAATGGGTGCTTGCTTGGTATTTTACGGTAGAAGCTGCAAATGCTTACGACGTTAAAGTCGTTGCCCGTTTAGTCATCATCGTCAACAGCAACGATGCTGGGGTTTTCTCTTCTGCAGCCTTTGGCAGGGAAAGAGCGGCGTCCCGGGTGTGGTGTGCAGCACGGGCGACAGGGTGGGCTGCGGCGTGCACCTGGGACAGGGGGACGGCCACTGCAACTGGCGCACCCTGGTCACCCTCTTCGTCACCCACAACGGCACCGAGGTGGGCCCTCCCTCTCCACCTCCCTTTCGACGACGCCCTGAACGTGTCCCCGACCGCCGCAATTACCGCTTCCCAAAAAGTTGTTCCGCCGCGGGTTGCTCTCCGGCTTGACTGTTCACGGTAGCTTAGGCGGCCGGAGTTGGGAGCCCTCGACGAACGCGGCACCGCATTCTCTCGTGCTTTTGCCGCACTACGCCCAACCACCAGAATCGCAGTGTCTGACAACATGACACTCCAGCCTTGTTTTGACCATTTGACGATTTCCTTTTCCAAGTCTGAGAGGTGTTCAGGCACCGAAAAAAGAACTTTGTCCGATTCCTCGACTCCCCGATCATCCTGAGTGCTACATGTGTCGAGCACTGCCTTGTTTTCCGAGGTAGGACAAAAAGCCAGGAGGCGACATCACTTTCAAACACCAATTCTCAATATTTCAAAAAGAAAGGCGGTAGGGCGTCTGTGATTGCGTTAAAAAACATGTTTTACGAGTGCCGTTTTTAAATAGTATAGCAATGTCGCTTACAAAGCTTGTAAATTTCATAATCGATTACGTCACAAATAAAGAAGCGAGGAGGTGAAAAGAGGGAGAAAACTACAAAAAATAAAAAGGCACATGCTTGTGTGGGGAAATTTTTTTGTGTTGTATTTTATTGCATGTCTACAACTACAACTGGCATCGTTTAAGACAAAAAAAAGGTGTGTCGATGACTATAATTTGCATTGTTTAAGACAACAACAAAAAATATGACCCTCGATGGTGCTCTAAAGATCACATGAAAAGGAAAAATAAATTTTTTTTAAACAGCCGTGTTGGAAAAAGGAAGTCATAAAACGAATTTACAACGGAAAAGGAAAATTTTTAGAGCTATATTTACGGCGCCATACAAATTTGTAGTTGGCACCCACGGGTGCCGCAGAAAAGTGGCCGCTATCTGTCACGTGGTGCTTACGCTCTTTCGGAAGCTTCCTATGGTCTCGAAAATTGACTTGTCCATCTTCGTTTGAAGGGAAAGAAAAAACGAAGATCAATAAGTAACTTTTACAGCTCAAAGGAAGCTCCTGAAAAAGCGCAAGCAGACGTGATAGACATGTGCGCCGGTCGGCAGCGTCGAGAAACGCGTTGAACCGACAGCACACCACGCTCAGCGTGCGGCGGCGGCATGACTTTGAGGTGGCCGCGGCGCCGCCCGACGGCGCACAGGTCTACCACGTGACCCACGGCGGCTCCCGTGGGCACCAACTACAAATTAGTTTTGCGCTGTAAATATGGCTCTAATTTTTTTCTCTGTTGTAAATCCGTTTTATAACTTTGTTTTTTTCCATCTAGGCTGTTAAAAAGATTTTTTTTTTCTTTGCATGCATTTTTTAAGGCAGACTGTCCTAAGCAGCTGAAAGTGTGTGAACCAGCCTTTAGAAGTGGTACGGAGGCGAATAAAGAGGGGAAGTGGATCATAGGGGCCGGATCGCTCTCGGGCTTCCACGACAACCCGGTTCTCCGAGAGGGAAGCGTGCACAGCCACTGTTGCCTGCCCAGGTGGCCCGGTCGACGTCCCTCCTGTCGGGGGGCCTCCAGCCGGCCGTGCTGCTGCAGGGGGCCCAGCGGGTACGTCTGCTGGGCCAGGACCCCTCCTCCTGCGGCCTGGGCTCCGGCCTGGAGGACGCCCTCATGTGCGTCGACTCCCACGAGGAGGACTGGCTCAGGCTGCACGACGTCCGGCTCAACGGACCCGTGAGTACGGGGAGGAGTTGTACCTGCGAGGATCGATCGAGAAAATGAAACACGGTCTTTCGGCCCGCACGAGTGAACGGTGCATTGCAGGAAGCCGAAACTCTGTGAGAATGCGATGCCAGCGGTGGTGGTAAAATGCGAAAGTGTGAATGCGCAATGTTACCTAAATTGAAAGATACAAAAAAAAAAAATTAAAGGAAGGTTCATTGGTGGATCTTTAGGGAAAGCATCAGCATGACCCTTGAGAAACGGCACGCTTGTCCCACTTTGGGAAACGCTAACGCTGACCCCTTCACTCTCGGCTTTCTCTTTTGCTTCCTCTATTTTTTCCGCCTCTTTTAGGGGCCAAGCTCTTTAGCTCCTTGTCCGTCCGGCGCCCGTGCTCGCATCGATCTTGCTGGTGCTCGTGCTCGTGCTCGTGAGCTCACATGCTCACAAACAAAAAAAAACGAAAAAAAAAAAAAAAAATGTTTGCGCAGTTGACAGGATTTGAACCTGTGCGGGGAGACCCCAATGGATTTCTAGTTCATCGCCTTAACCACTCGGCCACGACTGCAGGACGAGTAAGGGGCTCTGAGATGTGGTAGTAACTCAAGAGCTGGGGTTCCTGTCATGGATAAAACGTTGCATGTAGCCGCTCAACGTCTATACAGGAGAGGGCGCTGCAAGCAAATGCGTATATAATCGCGTTAAACTTTGCGTGCTTTGGCTCAATGTTTATGGACGAGTGGACGCTGCAATCAAATGCTCAAATGCGTATATAACCACGTTGCATACCACACATTCTCTTTCTGACATGGATGATAACGAACGAAAGGCTCGGCATGCTGCGGCTCAGCGTCTATGCAAACAAGCACCACCAGAGTTTTGCCCCAATCAACATCATTCACCATGTGCAGGTGCGGTCAATTTTTTGGCTTTGCCATGGGGTCAGTGTTGTCATTTCCCGGAGGAGGATGTGTTGGGCGTTTCCCATGGTTCGTGCTAATGCATCCCCTCCCCTTTAATTCTTCCTTTAATTTTTCCTTCCTTTAATCTTTTAACACAAACCGAGGATCTTCCTTTAATTTTTGTAGCACCAACAGAGGCATATGCGCTTCGCACAGCTGCAAGTTCAGGCTCGCCCCAGTATACGCGTGCGCATTGGCTTCCACCCCATGACGTCGCTCCTTCTCATCATTGTCCCTCGCTACCCTGCTCCTCTCCATGCGGCACGCTTCCCTTTCCACTGTTTTGTCCGCAGATGGATGCCATCAGATTTTCCAGTCATGTAGGCACTAATGCGGTCACGTTAAAAAAAAAAGAAATCTTTTCTATGAGCCAATGTCCACTTGAGCCCACTATTCATCAAACTGAAACTTAAAATATTTCGGTGAATATCTTGTCAGTAAGTAAAACAATATTGTTTTCTTTCTTCCTGACAAGTTTTTTTTGCCGCGATAAATGCTCTGATCGCACGCAATCTCAAATTTTGGTTCTATGAACATGGGTGGGTGTCAGCTCGTAAAGAAATTTTGTTCATCGGCGGTATGGCCTCCGCCGATAGCTTTCGGGATTTGTAACCGAATTTTAAAAGTAAAAGAAACGAGTAGGCTTATAAAATGTACGGAAGCACGTCAATATCGGCCAGACTCAACGTCTTGTACACCGGGTAAACGAAGTCCAGCTCCTGGAAGAGCTTGCGGCACACTACGCCAAACCAGGAAACCGGTGCTGGGAAGCGAGCCGATGCGAGATCGCGGGGTGGAGCCATCGCCCTGACGTCAAGGTACACCTCACCCAACCAGGGCGCGGTGACCGCAGCGACGCTTGTGTTCGCTCTCGGGGCTTATAAAAGATAAAATATATAAAAAAAGGCACGTTGGTATCGGCTTAACCCAGCGTCTTGTACACCGGGTAAATGAGGTACCGCTCCTTGAAGTGCTTGCGGCACACACTGGCTAAACCACGAAACTGGGGCATGGAAGCGAGCCGGATGTGAGTTAGCGAAGCGGAGTCCTTCCCCTGATGGTCACGGTACATTTCACCCAATCAGGGCGCGGCGACCGCAGCGACGCTTGTGTTTGCTCTCGGGGTTAATAACTATACATGTCTGGAAGTTTAAACCTTATCCTTTGCGGACTATTTACATTTTCAGATTGCGAGGATCTGTTGTTTTTTTAAGATAATTATAATGACAAATTGCCAAAAAATTTGTAAATGGCAGGTTTATGTTGGTGATGATTTTTGTATGCAGCAAGCTTCTTTGTGGGATAATGAAGCGAGCATTTTTTGAGGTGCGATGTGTATAAGAATTTTACATGCGGACTATTTGCCGGGTGCAGACTATAGTATGGAATACACAGTACAAACGAAGAGTCAGTGCACAGGGCTCGTTTAATCATAGAACGGGAGCACGTACGGTGCTTGCAAGCCGTCCAGATCAAGATACATTGAATAGGAATATTGAGGGCAAAAAGTTGTCGCCTTTCTTCTATTTGGTTTTATTTTGGCGCATCCGCTTTCGCAACATACCGACGGTATCGGGCTGGGAGGTATTTAACAGAGGCTCTTCATCGGATGATGAGCTTTCATCTTCTGAACTGAATTCTGGGAAGCGTTGAAAATCTGAATCTTGAGGGCTGGCATCGTGACTGTCGCTACTACAAGAGCAGCTGACACGCGAAGCGACCATCTCGCGCCTGTTTTATGTGCGGAGCGTCCAATTTCGGATCTATAAGTAACACCAGCAAGGCAAAACAGGGAAACTATAAACAAGGTTTATTGTTTCCGAAAGACATAACAGACAACAGCACGTTTCGTGGCGCATGCGGTTTGGCATTTAGGCGGGAACTTTGAAATGTGTAATTGCCGCCAAACATGTACAGCAACGACTATTGAAGTGTTTATAATGCACTGGGAAGCTCCTCCCACACCCTCTTTACAGCCAGCTGCTGTCCCTTGCAATGCGGAGCTGGTCCACTGCCAAAGTTATTGCACACTAATCGCGTGTGCAGCCATTTTGAAGATGTCGCGCCGACGTCCCATAACTCGTCACGGTCACTGCCTTTCTTAGTTAGTCCATGGAGCAATTCAACGCAGACGACAGACAAACTGACTGACGACTGGCTATAGGCTGTTTACAACTACCCATTGGACTGGTTTACACAAGATTCCCTGCAGCGATTCTTACGATCTTGGAGCACGACGATGAAACAAAGAAAAACAGCAGTCAGCACAGCGGCTGTGGGGTATGATTTGTCCGGAATATTGTAGTTGCATCCATTCACAAATCACAACTAACGGGAGTCATAGCTTATGCCTAGTTTCAAAGGGACGCGGCTATATCCTCGCTGACGCCATTTGCAAAACAGTTGCTAATGGCACTGGGTAGGTACTTTTTCCCCTACAAAACTGGTCACATGACCTCAAAATCCCACTTACGTGCTGGGAGGAACGGGTGCATTCACCGGCTAATGGCCCCAGACGTCTTTATAAAAGAAGACCGTCCTTTAGCCAGGAATTGAAACCTTGGACCTCTCTCTCCATAGTCCGAGGCTCGCCTGCACCTGCGGAACAACTTGGATGAGTGTCATTACAATTGCTATGTATTCGTGTCGCAGCAAAACACTCGTGATCAAATGATCACTGTGAATCGTCTTATCTAATAAACTACATTGATGTGATCGTGTGACCTAAGGATGTCACGTGATTTACCAGAGTTACTCAACCAAGTAAGGTGATCGTGTTGCATGATTTCACGTTACATCACACTCACACGAGCACGTCGTGTGGCTTCACGAGAGGTTGCATTGCAATTGAACATGAAAAATGTGCAACTTATCTCAATTCTTTGCATAAAGTTGGGAGACGCAGATTGTGTCGGTCTAAAATTGTTAAAAGATTGGGTGCCAATACACAGCTCAATCTTTCAAGGGCCGAAAAAGTCAGACGTGCAGTCTATTTTGTTATTTTGTGTTTCTCTTTTCTTTTTATTCAGCCCCAATCAGAAAGGGGCATTTCGAAAACCGCACTAAGGCCGCAATAAATGTGCATTTGGTTTTCTGCGATCCTACGTGCGTCACCTTACTGCAGGTGCTGGAGTACTCTGGCCGGGGGGCCAGCATGGTGGACGTGGGACTGGCCCAAACTCGGTGCCCCCTCAACACCACCAGCCACTACTACGAGCTGGAGATCCTGGACCCTGGGGAGAAGTGCTGCATTGCCATCGGACTAGCCCACAAGGTACGCCTTGAATCCAGTCTTTGTCGAGGGAAGAGCGAGAGCTTTCAAGGCTGTCGATCGAACGTGGCATCGGCCCCTTTGCCTTTGACGTGTCGTTGCCTTCGGCTGCTCAGTTTTCTGCTCCCCGTTTTTGTTGGACGGATGCCCCCCGTGGAGCCAAAGATAAAGCTTTGCGACTTTCGATGTAGACGGTCGTGGAGGATAATTTTGGTTTTAATAGATGGAAACTGAATACAATGCAATGCACCTTCGTGGAAATTGCGCCAGCCTCGACTGCGCAGCACGGAATGGTCGATGCCGAGATGGGCAAATGGTTGCCTGAAGGCCGTCCTCACATTGAATAATTGAGTCCGCTTTGGCGTGCATAAAGAGGGTGAACAAGCTCAAAATTTAAGTGAAATTACTCGCATTTGTGTATGTGGAATGTAAAGTAATTTGTGGGGGAACATCGCATTCAGCGAGAAATAAAGAAAACAATGGGCCGGGCAAGGCTTACGTCTTGCCCGGCGACAACTTTTCTTGGCAATGCAGTGAAAGATACAGGCACGCATTCCCACTCCCATTTTGAGCACTGAATAAAGCTGTGCGCGGGCTCTCCTCCTCTCCACTGCATTGCCAAGAAATGTTTTCGCCGAGTATAGGTACTTTCTGCCCCCCCCTCCCCCCCGCCCCCGCCGGTCATGTGGTATAAAAAGTCCCTCACTTTCGCCAGCAGGGATCGCCACATTCAGTAGCATTCCGTCGCATCCCGTCTTCGGGAAGGTTTGAGTGTGGTACCGCTGTACACAGTTGCCAGTCGCTCCAAGTTCAGAGGGGTGCAATTCAAGTTGGCTGTTGTTTGTTTGTTTGTTTATTTATTTGTTTATTTTCATTGCAGGACTACCCAAGGCACAGGCATCCGGGGTGGAACGAGGGGTCCATCGCCTACCACGCGGGTCTGTGCTCTCATTCTTTTTAGAACTGGCGTTGCTTGGGAGGCAGATTTGTCGCATCCACTGCGTCGGTGTTGTAGCCCCCTTCACGCTCGTGATGTTGTAAAAGGCCCCCTACAATTAAATATTCAACGAGAATCTTTGTCGGGCTAGTCGGTGCATTTTCAAGAAACTTGTAAGTGCAAACAAAGAAGGATAGAAAGAAGGGGACACTGACGAGCGCTTGTTGGTGTCCATCTCTGTTTGTGCTTTCGAGTTTCCTGGGTACCGTAGAATACTGCGCATCCGCCCATACCACATTAAGCGCCCATTCCCAAATTTGTAAGATCTGAGGAAATATGCGCAGTACATTGATATGTAAAATTGATGACCGGACAAGCGCCCATCCCCCATTCTCTCGCGATTATTTCTAAATTTTGAGTGGGCGCTTCCCCGGTATTTTACGGTACATTTAATTGGAACTTTATGAAACCAGTCAGTTCTAATTTATTCATTGGAAGTTTGAATTGTCCGCATAATGGGAAGGATGGAATGCAGTCACAAGCGGGGACGTCTCAAACTTTTGTCGAACCCTAGGTTCGACTGGTTACCTTCTAATTTTTATCAAAATATGAAAGAAGTTTGGCACCTTGAACATTGTTACCAAATGTTTTCTGCAATATATATACTTGTAAGACTACGCTCGTATCATTAGTTCATTTTAAGCATCCGATCAGTCTTCAATTGCCCTCTACTTGTATTTCATATTGGGTAACCTATCATAATATCCCATAAGGTGGCCCACTCAAAATGAGGAGACAGATGGTGAAAAACATGGGGTGAGCTATCTTTGGGGATGCCACTGCAAAACTTTATCAAAACTTAATGATAAGTGCCGGGGAATCCGCTACAAACCACATGACACAGGAACTGATACCACAGATCGCGGACACAGCAAATTCGCGTTTCACGATGCAGTAAACATGCAGGAATTCGCTACAAACTCCTGTGTCACGGGAAAGGATACCGCAAGTGGCCGACGCAGCAGATTCACGTTTTACGGTGCGAAGGACTTGCAGAAACCTGCCGAGAACTCGCATCTCACGGGAACGGATACCACGTATTGCGGACGCAGCAGATTCAAGTTCCATGGTGCAATAAAGATGCGGGAACCCGCTAGAATCATGCCTGTCCCGGACACCGATATTGCACGCGCAGATCGCAAACAAAAACACGGAACTACGCTACAAACCCGCATGTCATAGAAACAAATACCGCAGATCGCGGACGCAACAAAATCGCATTTCACGATGCAATATACATGCGGGAACAACTCGCGCGTGTTACTTACAGCTAAAGCTTAAGCGGACAAAAACACGGGAAGCCACAATGAACTCGCTTCTCGGACACACCGGTACTGCCAATCGCGCCATTGGTACGCGATTCCTGTCTGACATCGCTTGACGTCCAACGGGAGTCGGGGGTGGGTGATGTCTCGGAATTTTTATGTTAAAGATATTTAGCCAGAAAAACGGGATGGGCGATCTTTTGGGGGAGGGCGCCCTTATGGGATTTTACGATATATCTGTATTGCTCGTGGTCTCTTGCCTCGTGACTGCCAACATAAATGAATAAACACCTTTGGAATTTCGAACCTCTGTCTAATCCACGTAGGGACAAAGGCAAAATCTCTGTTTGAAATGGCACAAAATCTAAAGACTTAAAACATTTGTATGGCTTTTCGCAGATGATGGCAAGATCTTCGTGGGGAGCGGCGAAGGATCCTGTTTTGGTCCCAGGTGCAAAAAAGGTGATCTTGCAGCCTCTCTTCCTTTTTTTTTTTTAATGTTTTGTTGCTTTTTTTTTACGAGAGCCAGTGGCATCAGAAAGCATAATTTAGATTGAATGTTGGACCTATCCATTTTGCGTGCCACATCAATTTCAGTGTATCGGGATTCAAGAGTAATTGAATAAATGTGGTAGACCTCCACAGGTGTGAAAGCCTATAGAAATAAATTGATGTGTGGGAGTTGCTGCCTGTCTCATCTATAAGCTCCCAAAAGCATTTTCAGTTGTTTCATTTTAACCGGGTCGTACATCTGTTTAGTGTGGTCTTCCTAAAATTGTCACAGGAGTTTACCATATTTTATTATGATTTAGAAGCAGGTTTCATTTACAAATATCAAATGAAAAGTTTAATTGTGTAATGTTTTTTGGCATGCATACAAACAGTCAATACTCATGGGAGCAAGGTGAATGTGTTGGCTGCCTATTTTGCTCCTATCAGCGATCTGTCGGAGGAAGGGAAAGGTGAAAAATTAGTCAAATCAGTGAAGAGTGCAATTTTTTACAAAGAATGCGAATGCGAGAGGGTGATTCTCATTGCATTTTCATTTCGTGTGCTTCTCTTGAGTAGGCCTACTCTCATAAAGAAAAATTGTTGCTGAAATCGCTGCACAGATTGTCATTGAAATACAATAGCATTTTGTACCATCTTGTTCAAGGGTCATTCTCCCGAAAATTAAACATAAATGTGACTGTCAAGTAACTTTGAAATGCCTTCCTCCCATCATTCCTAAAATATAGTTTGTATAGCATAGCATCAGGGTGTCCTAAAACCAAACATTTTGCAAGTTCTCATAATTAAACCTATTTTAGAAAAAAAATTAGTTTAGATTGCATCCTATATGAAATTTCAGCATTTGTTTTGTATCTGCTAACTACCACACAAATTTCAAACGTGTGAACTTTTGTTTTAGCAAAGTAAACTTTTATAGGTTTAACTTAAAAAACCACTTTGCTTCATTTTTTTTTTAAACAATGCAGCTTTTTTTAGTATCACCTAGGAAGACTACACGTCAAATATTACAACCTAGTTCTGTCTAAATGTTTGTTAAACGGTCCAGCAAACTTTGCAACGCGCCTAGTTGCCAAAATCGGCCGACTCGAGCGGGCGAATTGAGGCGCAACCAACATCGCAGTCAAGACTATGGCGTGGGCGTAGCCAACATTGATCTAAATGTCATCACCATTGCCCATTTTTGCTTCTTTTGACTTCTCCAAGCAAGTGTAACGGGTGACGTCAGCACCGTTTCCTCTCGGCACTCAGCGGTGTCCTCGTGATCGGCGTAACGCTCCTGTGCAGCGCACTTCTTGGGAGTCATACAGCCGTCCCACTGTTACCGCCGTCTCCCACGTTACAACTGCCGTCGTCGTCTCAACATTTGTGATTATTGTCTTGCGGAGTTTCGTTCGCATTACGGGCACTACGTGCGTAGACGTATGCCACAGTTGTGCAGGCGTCGTCGAATGTCGCAGACACCAAAACGTGGCGAAGAGTGCAGTGCAGACGACACTCGCGCCTGGCACACGCCCGCCCCAATCCCGCCCATCGTCGCGTAGAGGATCATGTGACGTCTCGTTTCATGTGATAGCCATGTTCTTGGCAGCCCGAGGTCAATGTTGCTGGACGGAGCCGAAGTTTCGGTTTCGATTTCTGCTCGAGTTTAAAATTTGTTTTAACAATATATATCCCATTTTTCATGAAGCAAATGTCTCAGTGCCTTTTACTAATGCTTCTAATATAAAATCCCTCATTATCCTGAAATCTTTGGAATTGAGCGAAGTTGCCCTTTAAAAATTGTAGACATATGTCAGCTCCAATTTATGATGTGATCTCAGTGTCAAGTGTTGCTAAAGTATTTATATTTTTTCCAATTTTAAAAAGAAACAAGTGTGACCCCGACTTGAATGTCAAAAGTATAACGGACAATGTAAATGTCGTTGGGGTCATTGGGTTGTGCTATGGCCTTCCCCAATGACTCTGGAGAGGCACAAATTAAAGGGCACTCCGGCGTTTTCTTTATAATCCCCGATGTGCCTAAAAATTTTCTATACAAACTAACAAACAGTGCTAAAATAGTGACCCGAATATTGGGCCAACATAACATTTTTTGCCGTAGTTATTGAATTTACTATTTTGGTCCTCACCGTGTTTTTCAAAGTGAAAGTCTCTACTGGCAACAATGAAAAAGTGACATCAAATGAAGGCAGGGGTTCACTCTTTGACCAATAGACCTTGTTCCCAACTGATTACTAGCAGTTTCATAGTGCCAAATGAATGCTTTCGAAGCTCGATCCAGCACCCTCGCAGGTCCATTTTTAGACTGCCTGCTCAACCCACCAGCTTGCCTTCCCATGACGTCACAGCATTGAAAAGCGCGGGTATATTCGAATGTTGGTTTTAGCATCATTTCCACGTGCCGATTGCTCAATAACTATTCTGAATTTATCTATACTAAATAGCTTATCTGAAAGGGTGAAGACCTGTGATGCCGAAAATATAGTTAGTGGGGGAAGTCCAAAAAATTGCCAGAGCACCCCTTTAAGCAAGGTTCTATATTTGTTGTGTTACACAGCAAGAATAGAACCTTACTTAATTTGCACACCTCTGGAGTCATAGCATGCTCAGCCCCGCTGCCGTGCACATGTATGTAGGGGACCTCGAAGCATTGATGGTTGAGAACCACTGCTCTAGCAGGTCCCTAGACGTGGTCTCGATGCATTGTGCGGCATCCGCAGGGGACGTGATGGGCTGCGGCATCCTGTTTCCCCGGGAGTATGTGGCCGAGGAGGAGGAGTGTGGGGCAGAGGAGCGCCTCCTGGACAACAGCCCCTGGTCCCTGGGGGGACCCGACGAGGACAGCGACAACGACGAGGGCTGCCACTGCTGGAGGGAGGCCGATGACCCCTTTGGGCAGGAGCCCCCCGACGCCATCCTGGTTCAGGTGAGGAAATCAAACGCTGGGAAAGGCCTGCGGAAAGGCCTCCAGAGAACCTTCGGCAAAAGCTCGGAAAGGCCTGCATGTAAGTGGGCTAGCACTGGGAAAGCCTTGCTGATGTTTGGCAAGTAACAGGAACGGTCTGCAGTTAACAATGGGCTAACACTGGGAAAGGCCTGTAGACAGCCTTTACCAAATGCTCGAAAAGGCCTGCATATAACAGTGGGCAAACACTGGGAAAGGCTTGCAGATAACAGTGGGATAATACTGGGAAAGGCCTGCAGATAACGGTGGGCTAGTAGTGGAAAAGGCTTGTAGATGTTTTCCAAATAATGGGAAAGGCCTTCAGACAATTTTTGCCTCTCCTCTCCTCGGTGAACTTTGTAAGCGCTTTTTGAAGCTCGAGGCAAGCGTTAGTTTTCGGACCGCGGAAAGATCTTCAGTCATGGCTTGCAGTTCTGCAGGTCGTCCTTCCTCCATTCTCACCGCCTGCCACTCAATTTTCAGCCTGCCAAATAATGGGAAAGGCCTTCAGACAATTTTTTCCTCTCCTCTCCTCGGTGACCTTTGTAAGCGCTTTTTGAAGCTCGAGGCAAGCGTTAGTTTTCGGACCGCGGAAAGATCTTCAGTCATGGCTTGCAGTTTTGCAGGTCGTCCTTCCTCCATTCTCACCGCCTGCCACTCAATTTTCAGCCTGCCACTCAATTTCCGATTTCTTTGACAACGGATCTGAAGCCAGTCGGATCCTTCGCCGAAAAGATTGGAAACTACGAAAATCGTTGCCGTCAACAGCAACTCGCGTTTATGGCGACGACGTCTCGCACGTTGCCATCGAACACGATTCAACGGCAACGAGCAGAGCCTTGCTGCCGAATCCTTTGGGAGCAATGCTTTGACGGCAACACATGCACAATTCGTCGAATTGACGGCTCAGCACAGCTGCTCAGTCTGCAAAAACAATGCAAAAATGGCTACCCGAAAAAAGGAGAAGGTGGGGAGAAAAAAACGCCTAAGAAAGACCGGGGAAGAGGGACTCCGAGGAAACTATCCCTACAACTTCATGTGCATTGCCGTGAAGCCTCACTTTACCTTTGATTCCTTATAAACTTTGATGCGGGTTATACGCGAGAAAATATGGTACCAGATAACAGAACCTCCTGGGGTAGACGCATTTAGGCAGGAACTTTCAAATGTGTATAAATTTCAAAATTCAGTGCCATCTGGTGACTCAAAAAATAGTTTCACTTTTGACAAACTAATGGCAGCCATGAGACTGTATCTCATTGGGCACCGTCACTTTGGCACATCCGTGCAGATAAAAATTTGCTTTCCAATCACCTCGTGGTTCTTACTCGATTTTTTAAAGTTTCAATGATGGGAATACAAGAACTGACCAGTACAGAGTGGCGACCCAGAAGTAGGGTTCAATGTTTTCGGATAAATCCGAAAAAATTTTATGAACACTCCCCGGTATATTTTTATCAATTCGGATTTGTCCGAAAATCTCAAAATTTAGAAATCCCTACAGCCAAATCAAAAAAAGAAAGAAAAAAAGAGTTTGTTTACGAATAAATTTAATGAGAGCATAAGGTCAGTTTCGTTTAAAATCTTGGACTACTGACAAAAGGGGGTTTACCTTTGAGCTCGTCGAGGTTGGTTCAGGAAAATGGGTCATGGTACCTCTGGGTCATGACAAAGCCATCGTTTAGGTTTACATTTTGGACCATACTACCATAAAAATGCCGCTGAAGCGTCCACTTCGTTCAGGCACCCATTATTAACATGATCCAAAGTTGGGAATTCAGGAAAATATACGCTAAGCACCCAATTTGACAGGACAACCGCCATGTCTAGAATAGTCCAGTTTTCCGTGAAAGTGGGGCGGGTGCACCCTCGGTCTTTTACGGTAGTTGTGCTTCTTAGAAAGAGAGGTGGTGTTTTCATAACATTGAAAGCTATGAACTCTAGATTTCGAAGGATAGGGAGGGCAGCTGAATCTTCCATGCTTCCATGCAATCACGTCCAGGAACTTAGTTATTTGAAAAAATTGACTGTTATTAAGGCTAAGCTTTCTCGCAATATTTGTCGTTAGTTAATATGTCAATGACAGCGGCAATAATGTCAAATGCAGCTGCAGAAGTATCATTCGATACAGATGAATTTAGGGTATGCCTGTCTGTGGACCTTTTGTATTGTAACAAAATATTGAAAAATTAAGGACAATGTAAAATAAACTTTGAATGAAAGAGAATTGGAAATCCAACAAAAAACTATTCCGATAAACCTCAAATATTCAGGGAAAAATAAACTCAAAAACCCCCTCCCGAATTTTACGAGAAGTGAACTCCGAAGACACTGCATCCTACCCATAAGCACCTCGATTAAATTTCCATTATCCAAAGGTTTTAGAACCAAACTAGCTCCGAAATAAACGCTTACACAGCCATCGTACCTAATTTGTGCGTCGCATTGTACCGACATCTCGAACGCACAGGCCTCGCATGTCCTACACTCATGAGTATTTTCTTCTCCCTTCATCGGGCTCGAGAAGGCCACCATTAGTTCGGCACAGACAAAGGAACACTGAGGCGACTGTAGCGGCTAAAGCCAGTAGGTCGAATTATGAAAAGCCAGCAGACCGCCAGAGGATTGACGACGTTTCAACGGATTTTAAAGGGGTACTCCGGCTTTTTTAGAGCTACCCAAAAAAAATTGCATTTTCCGAATACCCGGACTTTAGTCTTCACGCTATGCTATTTATTGTCTCGAAATTCAAAATAGCTATTGAGAAAACCGTAAATGAAGATGAAGCTGAAACCAACATTCAGATATCCGCACGCTCTCCAGTGGTGCGACGTCACGAATGCTACAAACTTTCAGGTCGTACAGGTAGTTTTGAGCAGAATATATGTCGAGCGTTGTTCGGTTCTTGTCAGTGAATGAGCTTTCAAGCATTCTTTTCCCATCATCAAGCGTCTTGTGATCATGAACAAAGTCTTCACCCAGAAAGTCGTAAACGTAGAAAGATGTTTGAACAGCAGTAGAGGCTTTGTTGAACGACGTTTCCGGAAGAGACCTCCCTTCTTCAAGTATGCAGAAAATACAGTTGCAAAGTATTTTTAGAGAGACCAGAGGAGAGAAGGAACATAGGAGAAAGCGAAAGAAAAAATGACCGCATCTCCACGTGGTGAATGATGTTGATTATGGCGAAGCTCTGGTGGTGCTGATGATACTGATTTTGTTCATAGGTAGTGCTGATGGTGCTGATTTTTTGTTTTTATTGCTCATAGGTAGTGCTGAGTTCTGGGTTGCATTTCGACTTCATTATTACTGCTTTATGGTCGGTGAAATGCAGAGCCAGTGGTTCTGCATTATATACGCATTTGAGCATTTGACCGCAACGCCTTCTTTTCTATAAACACTAAGCCAATGGATGCAAAGTTTAACGCAATTATATACGCTTTTGACCGCAGCGCCCTCTCCTGTATAGATGTTGAGCGGCTACCTGCAACGTTTCATCCATGACAGAAACCCCATCTCTTGAGTTCCTACCACATCTCAGAGCCCCCTACTCGTCCTGCAGTCATGGCCGAGTGGTTAAGGCGATGGACTAGAAATCCATTGGGGTTCGAATCCTGTCCGCTGCGCAAACATATTTTTTTTTTTTTTAATACAGATGGGATGGCAGTTGATGTGAGCATGGACGCCGGACGGACAGGGCTAGACCCTAAGGAGCTTTGCCCCGAAAAAATCATATATATAATAGTACAAGTAAAAACACTTAAGCATGAAAAAACTACTTGAAGTAGTTTTTTTCATGCTTAGGTGTTTTTACTTGTACTGTTATGTATATGATATTTTTCTTTCGCTTTCTCCAATGTTCCTTCTCTCCTCTGGTTTCTCTAAAAACGTTTTGCAACTGTATTTTCTGCACACTTGAAGAAGGGAAGTCTCTTCCCGAAATGTTGTGTAATAAAGCCTCTACTGCTGTTCAAACATCTTTCTACGTCTTGTAATCAGTTGGGTATGTGATTTACTGCCCACTTGGTACCATTTCTGCCGTCACACTTCAGTGTAGCCAGTAGGGGCTCTTGGTTTCGCGAAACACAATAAAAATAAAACTCTAAAACTTAATAACATAAAAAAAAAATTTTTTTTTTATTACAAATTAAGGGGCATTGGTACAGTTGTGTCTATCGGTGTGCTGAGCCATTTTTGAGGCAAATTAGCGACCATAAAATAAAATCGCTGGAGTACTTCTTTAAAACCGACCCACTGCTTCTCCCCCCGCAGGTGTTCTTCACGCACAACGGCGTCAACGTGGGTCGGCGGGAAGTGGCGCTTCCCCGCGGCGGTCTCTACCCGACGGTGGGGATGCTCAGCCGGAAGGAGAAAGTGAAGGTGGACCTGCACCCTCTCACGGGCTGAGCGCCGCCCGCCTCCGCCGACTCTCCGGCGCCACCGTCTCCGCTCCGAACTGTTGGGGGTGGGACCGATCACTCCAGCGAGAGCCTTTTGGTTTTGTGGGACTTTTCGAAGACACCCTTCCTATAAACATAAACTGAACTCCCAGAAACTTTTTTTTTTTTTAAGTGCTCGGATGGGGCTAGTCACATAAGCTACGTCCGGAGCGTGGGTTATTGTACGAGCTGCCGAATTTCTTTGACCGTCGCTGCCACTAGGTAAAGTGAATTTCCTGATTGAGCACTACTTTAGCAGATCTAAGCCACTCGCTGGTGCGTAGCTGCGTGCCAAGCATTTTCTCGTGTGCGCGTTATTGTTTACGAGGCCCGGAAACTTCCGTACCGGTTTACCGCATCGATGTCGAGACTGCGAGGGGTTACTATGCTGCCATCCGGGCACCGCCTTTTGGTGCTTGATGCGGAGGGGGCGCAGTTGGCGAACGTCGCAATGAAAAAGTGCAACGTCCCAAGCTCGAGGCGCAGGTTTAACGAGTTCGGATGTCGTCATTTTGCTCCGTCGGAGGTGTCTGTAACATTTCTGAGGAAAGGAAAGGCATTTCCCGCAATTTCGGGTGACTGACGACTATGTTCTTAAGCACCGAGGTGGCTTGATTGCCGTTCCTTTGAAGCTTAGCTTGTTTTGTGGCACGAGATATGTGCACGTCACAAAAAGCTTCCCGACAAAAAAAAAAAAAAAAAAAAAGATTTAGTGCTATGTTTATGTACCTTGTAAGTCTCTTTTTGAGTTAGGAGTGATTATGATACCAGCTTCTTTTATGTTGCACTCAAAAATAACTTTTTTCTCTTTTTTCGAGGAAAGTTTGCTTTGGGAAGTATAGATTCTATCCAGGTACTTCCTTAAGCAGGGAAACAACCCAAAAAAATACATTTCTGCCAAAAAGGTTGATTTGAAAAATGCCATATTTACATCCACCAACATCTAGAGAGTATTCCCAAAAAGTTTTATTAGTCTACTTGCATAGTTAGTTTTTATAAATTATTTTCAGTCCACTAATGCTAAAGCACGCAGGCACTACTCACACATATAAAGAAAGGTAGAGGTTAGAGCGCTTTGAACATATTTTTCTCAGTTCAGCTTTTTGGCAGCAAATCCAACCTTAAAAAAAAAACATTGTTTCAATATGAAACTATCGAAAGACTTAATATTTGCGGCTTATATGCCGAAATTTTATGGAGCCGGTTACTATGAAATTAGATTTCGCATTTTCAATCCTTGAGGTTGCCCCAGAACTGCATTTCCCTATAGCGAAGATTTCGCAGTATGCACGGGATGAAATGTACATTCTATGAGAAACGGTCGTTTATAACTTTGCCAAACGTTTTCGAACTAGTGAAGAAAGAAAGATGTGCAAGGAAAAGTAAGAAATACAGTCGACTCTCGTTTAATTCAAACTTGCGGAAAATTCAAAGTAACATGCAGGTCCCATCCTATGTGTCTCTATGGAAGGAAACTCCCGGTAATTCAAACTTTGCTTTATTCAAACAAATTTTCGGCCCCCCTCAAGTTTGAATTAACGAGATTCGACTGTACATGGAACTCGCAAGTGTTTGATTAGCCGGTAGGTGGTGCCACCCCGTTCTGTCATCATGGGAAATCGCGAGAGGTTTTAACAAACCCTGTCGTAAGCAGTTGCAAATGTGTGAATCAGCCTTTACTCAAAGTTTATTCTTTATTTATACGTGTTCGTCGTAACAGACAACATCAGGTTTCAGTGCCAACTGCGTCTCAAAGCCAACTACAGTGGAGGGTATTTTTCGTCACATAAAGCGGAGTTTCTCCAACTCTGTCGCGTCAAGGAATGGCGATCTCTCTCAATTGAGAGCCAAGGTACCCCTCCCGGTCTCGACGTTGACGCGGTGCAGTAGCGCCGAAGTTTATGAGCCTAAACATCAATGCGTGTCATTGGAAGCGTCCGACACATTGTTACGCATCGATCGATGGCTCGGATTAGCTGCAGTAGTGCTTAAGCTGAAAGAACACTTCACTAAAGGACATGGACGGCCGAGGGTAGCTCCTGAATTCCTAGCACCCCCGTTTGAGAACCCATGTCATAGAGTATCGGCACGATTCTGTCGTAATACGGTATTTTTTGGACTATAGTCCGCGAATTGTGTGCATTTAGAAGTTTACGTTTTAACGCGATAGCGTTAAGGAGCTCGTGAAGCAGAAAAGTCGGTAGCGTGACAAGAAAATTGCGGACGCGAAAATCCTGATTGGTCGATAGTGTCACGACGTCTCAGCCACACGACCTCGGGCGGGAATTTCAAACAAAGCTCACTTGAAACGCGACGTCACGCATGGAATGAAGTGATTGAAAGATGCGACATGTAATGCAAATTAAAGGTCACTGCATGTCTAAAATGATATCACTTTATAAAGTAATTCATTTGCCTTAAAAAAAAATGGAATAATTTTAGGCGGAATTTCATCCCACGACCCTTCGGTTGGGAGTCAAACACGTTACTGACTTGGCCACTGTGTTCACCGCACTTCCTGTTTACCGGCAAGAAGAGCATGAGAAGCGAATGAGAAGGCAATGCAAACGCGGCCCGATAACGCTATCGTGTTCCACTTTTACAGGCGAAGCTTAAGTTTCCTTTAAGTTTTTGTGTGGTGCAGACTCTCTACTAGTGAACTATACTTTGTTTTTTTTAGGTTGTTCTTCGTGACAAGGTGCGACAGATTTTGTGAAAATATGTTAATTAGGATTTAAGTGCGATGAGAGCTTCTTTGTGAGCTAGTGTAGCGGGCATTTGTTGAGGTTTGCTGCGAAAAATATTTTTATGTGCAGACAAGGCATATGAAGAACATTGTTCCTATAGTATAAGGAAAAACCTTCCCAGACTACACCGGGACTATAGTCCAAAAAGTACTGTGCTAGACAATACTAAACCTGTCAATGATTAGCTTTTGGTGTGTTATACATGCCGAAATTCAGGAGCGCCACTTTCTCCGCTTAGAAAGATGAGAAAAAATACCTTTTATTACCAATCGCAGGGAGTGTGTTGAACTTGGATGTAGTTTTTATTCTAGCTTTTTACGAGGCGATTATTTGTAGCTACTGAATTATAACCGAGAAGAATTTCAGCTTTATTGGGGGAGGCACTTTTAGCAATTATTTGACGGCACGCAACTACGAGACGTTTCTGGCATCCTGTGATTAAGTCTCGAGGCTTCCTTTTCTCTTTGGAACGATGTACAAATACGCTTATAAATGAAGACGTTGCGTGATGTGTGTGAATAGTAGAAGTAATGCGAGACTATAAACTGCCAACTGTAAATATTTATTGGCGTCAAGGCAGCGTGCACATATTTGCGAGCCTTTGGTACTGTTAAGAGGAGCGTAGTCATAGTCACAACACCCCCGGTAGTTTTTCTCTCTCGTTGGCTGCCGCGAGAAAGCTTCAAATGTGGCGTGGCTAAGCCTGGCCTCTTTCATTGCTGGCGTGCAGCAGTTTTCAATTCCAGCTTGACACTCCGTTTTGGTGTCTCTTCAACGACTTGTGAATGATGCATTTCATCTGAGCGCGCTGCTGTTGTAACTGTTACGATGTGGCGGGATGGCGGAATGCGTGTTTTCTACGAAAACATACTGTATAGTGCCGACACCCATACAAGCGAGGAACGCTAGTATTCCGTATGTTAGTTATTTGCATATGTTTTCAGTAACGACCCTTGAGATTAATGATATGTCTAGTATACCCGTTTTCACCTCAACTATTGTAGTAAAGAAAGTCCTGCTTGTCGCAGAGCATTACTGATTTCCCCCTTTATGTAGAGAATTAAGATGTATGTAGGTGAATTGTAGATTAGGTATATGTTATCTTATCTTATTAAAGGAACACTGACACCCCCAAAATTTTTTTTCATTTCAAGAAATGAAAAAAATTATTTTTTTTCATTTCTTGCCAGGTGATTCAATATGGTTTCGGAATACTACCCAATTAATATTTTGGTACAGAGTCGCATATTTTTTTATCAAGCCAAAAGATGCAACTGCTCGAAACCGAAACCCCCGCACTGCACGGAGAAGTGGAGAGGAGAGAGGTAGTGGCAGAAGTCATGTAACTACACCCCACCGTGCGATTTTTTAAAAAATTTTTTGCACGTAGCTGACGAAATGCGTTGCATTTTGTCAGCCTCTTTGCCGTGCGATTCCTTTGCAGTTATGTTTGTTCCGCTCACTGTTCTGTACTTCAAGACGAGTTGTTTTGTACATTTAAGTGTTGGTAATTAGTAGCGAGTGCCCGTGGTGAATTCCCGTGATTGGCTCCGAAAAGAATACACCCAAGATGTTGCGTGAAGAGCTGTATCACACGTCCTGCATCTGAAAGTGGCATTGTGCGGCAAAGTGCACAAGTTTCCGAAAAATCAACGGATCGGGATCAATGGCTGGCTGCACTTCCCGTAGAACAGTTACGCGAAGCTCGGAAAGCGGACGCTACACAATTCATATGCTCCTTGCTTTTTGTGGGAAGTGACTACATTGAGTTTGCAGGTATCAAAAATAGAATCCCATGCCATTTAGTTCAGCGACGTGTCGTCCACAACAAATGTTTTTTTTCAGTGATAATTGTAAAAAAAGAAATGTAAACATCGCAAAATGTTTGACAAAACAAAAAATGGCATGCTTACACTAGGGATTGAACCCGTGCCCACTGCGTGTAAAGCGGACGTCTTTCCACTGAGCTACTGAAGGAACTCTTTCGTTCGTAGTAATGCAGCCGGTCGACTGTATGTCGGAAAGTTTGCTGCCGATTTTCCTCCAGTATACATTCACTCCCGGCTTGAAGTCAGGCAGCACCACGCATAGGCCACATTCGCACCTAGTAAAGAAACCGTACGCGTGCGTATATAAATCGAAGTATGCACTTCGGGCTTGACGTTTGAACGAGCGATGTCTTCGGTTACGAGAAGGGGCGACGGCTCCGTGCCGTCTTCGTGCAATTGGCTTGCTGGTCGGGCGTGTTGTACGGGATGAATATCAGTTCTTTTGATCAGTCCAAAATTTCTCTTTCGAAGGAAGGCAGAATTCGCCGGTACCGTGAACGACAGTTCTGAAGTAGAGGTCCCACGCCTGTCGTCCG